CCCACACCCTCCCCCCTCGACCCTCACCACTTGGCCAGCAGAACAAGAGGGTGGCGGGGGCCGTGGACCAGACCCATGATGGAGTAGCCATAGTTGTGCCAGTCAATGACGAGCTTGCTCCCACAGACGCAGCCCACGAACCAGCAGACGGCAATGGCCGGCAGGCCTGGGGGATTCTGGGAAAGACAGGCTCGCGTGAAGAAGAGGAAAGCCAGACTGTGGAAGACCGGCAACCAAGGACGACACACACGGCACAGCCAGCTGGTCTTGACAGCCCTTCTCCTGAGAGAAACTCCTCACCCTCCTCACTGCAGGAAAAAAGAAGTGAAGGGACCCAGCCCCAAGGGTCTGAGACCAGTAGAACCTGGGCACATACTCGGACCAAATAGGTGCATTGCTGACTTTTATTGTTTGGGGCCACACCCATCAGGGCTCAGGGATCACTCCTGGCGGGGCTCAGGGGACCATACAAAGTTCTAAGGATTGAACCAGGTTTGACCGCATGCAAGGCAAATGCTTTACCCACCGGACTATCACTCCAGCCCCAATACATTAAGGAACACTTACATCGGGATGCAATGGAGCCCATTAAAAGAAGGACTCTATGTGTTAAAAGTAGGAGATGGAAGAAAGTGAGCAGAACCTCAGGCCCAGACAAGCTGGTTCGATCTCTGACTCCTGCACTTTCAGAGGCCCAAAGGGCAGCTCTGACAGCCTCTGGGCTCCAGGTCTCCCCATCCCAGAATGCAAATATTTCTTACGGTCGCAATGAAACTATCAGTGGGTTCGTACACGTCAAACACTCAGAATAAGCACAGTGAGAAACCACCTGTAATGTCATTGAAAGCAGAACGGATGGAGAGCCCCATCAACTGAACGAAAACACGCCATCAGCCCCTACTCAGGTTTTCAAAACTTACACGCACGTGCACATGCAATTCACTTACTAGTTAACAGATTGTCAATGGAGGAAAAGTCAAGCAAATTGTTAACAGTGGGTGTGACAGAGGCGAGGCGGACATATACCTGGAGAAAGATGTAGGCTGCGGGCTCTGTCCACATCAACTTCCACATCAAATGCACTGCCTGATACATGACCTTGACCCCGTACTGGAGGAGGCGGGGCCCAACTGCAAGTCAAAAGTTAGCCGTTTTGGGGGCTGGAGCGATAGCACAGCGGGTAGGGCATCTGCCTTGTACGCAGCCGACCCGGGTTCGATTCCCAACATCCCATGTGGTCCCCTGAGCACTGCCAGGAGCAACTCCTGTGCATCACTGGGTGTGACCCAAAAACAAAACAAAAGTTAGTAGTCATGGGCCAGAGAGATAGTACAGTGGGGAGGGCGTTTGACTTGCAGGCGGCCCACCCAGGTTCGACCCCCAGCATCCCATATGGTCCCCCAAGCACCGCCAGGAGTGATTCCTGAGTGCATGAGCCAGGAGGAACCCCTGAGCATTGCTGGGTGTAACCCAAAAAGGGAAAAAAAAAAAAAGTTAGCAGTAACTACTGGGTGCTTCCGGCAATTTGCAGAGCCATCCATCCTACCTCCAAACCCACCCGCGCCCACCCCCACGGAGACTCAGAGAAGCGGGAGCCAACTGCATTCTACCTGCCAGTCTCGGAAGTTCCGTCAGACCCACAATCCGGATTCTGTCGTTCTGCAGGAGGTCATCGTAAGGCTTGGAGTCTGTAAAGACAGGCCCCCCTTAGGCACGAGACAGTACAGTGGGGAGGGCGCTGACCACCGAGGGGACCAACGAGTCCCCAGCCCAGGCTGGAAGGGTCGAGAGGGTTCTGGGAAAATCAGACTTTTCCAGGCCGCTGCGTTCCTTCCGTAGCCAGAACAGGGAAGGGGACCAAAGTCCACTCAACTGCCAGCCCACGAAGGGTGGGAACCGTGTCCAGCTTTCCCGAGGGCGACACCCGGGACGTCGCAGGCTCCCCCGTCACGCCGTGGACTCCCGAGTCCGTCCTCCCGCCCAACAGGTGGCCCTGCCCGGGCCCGGCAGATGGCAGGGCGGGACGCGCCCCGGGCCCCGCTGTCCCGGCCGGACCCCGGCCCGCTCAGCCCTGGGGGCGCGGCCCGGCGGGGGAACGAGCACGGCGCGGGTCCGAGAGCCCCGCCCGCCGCCGCACTCACTGCAGAAACCCAGGAGGGTCACGGAGAAGCCGCTCTTGGCCAGCGACAGGGCGTGGAACTGCATGCGGGGGCTGCGGCCCACGTCGCCCAGCACCACGACCGCCACGTGCCGGGCCGCGCGGCCCCGCGTCCAGCGCTGGCGGGCGACGAGCAGCAGCGGCGCCAGGAGGAGCGCCACGGCCGCCAGGGCCACGCAGGACGCCGCCATCTTGACCGCCGCGCCCGGTCACGTGACGCGCCCCGGGGCGCAGCCGCAGACCGCGCCGCCGGGTGGGCGGGGCCGGGCCGGCGGGTGGGCGGGGCCGGGCCGGCGGGTGGGCGGGGCCAGGCCGCCGGGTGGGTGGGGCCAGGGCTTCGGGGGCGGGGCCAGCGGGAGCTCCCCGGGCCGGGAATTCCTTGGCCTGATGCCCTGGCTGGTACCAGCGGCTGCGTGTCTGGGTACCCCCAGATGCTCTCAAGCTGAATCCCGGTGAAGGGATGCTGCTAGGACCTGAAAGGAGCTAGGAAGGCTAGGAAGGAGTTCATTAACTTGCAAAATTGCTTTCTGTAAACAGTTCAGCAGCCTTGAGATGCAAAATTGGATTGAACCCAGTAGATGTGTAAGGTATGGGTTAGACATAACTATTTAAAGAAAGATAGAGTGTTTTGACCATTCTGGAAACTGAAACTATGCGACCGGGTCAAGGTGTTTGAGTAGAGATAAGGTAAAGGTAAAGGCCCTCCCGTTGATCGTCGATTTGCTCGAGCGGGCCCAGTAACGTCTCCATTGGAGACTTTGTTGTTACTGTGTCTGGCATATCGAATACTCTCGGTAGCTTGCCGGGCTCTCCGAGAGGGGCGGAGGAATCGAACTCGGGTCGGCCATGTTGGCCGCTTGTAAGGCGAACGCCCTACCCGCTGTGCTATCGCTCATGTATGTGAAAAATACGTGGGAAAAATATGTGGTCTTTGTTCTCAAACTGTATAAAAGATGACCTGTTTCTGAGTTCGGGGCTCTCAGCCTCTGCCCGCTCTTGGGTATGTTGCAGAGCCCCAGCATGCTGGCTTGAACAAAACCCCGCTTGAATTCCTGCAGGAACGTTGTCTGTCTGGTCTCTCCGTGCCTCCTAGGGCTAGGGAACTCCCGACCCCAACAGACCGTCGTGCACAATAGCAGGAAAGTGGAATTAGCCTGCATGTGGTCAGCCTTGGGGTGGGATATTATTGCGGGAGCCTTCGCCACTCAGCCTCTCTCTGTGGTCCTGCTGACCTCCAGCACTGCTCTTTTGTTTTTTAACATTTATTTATTTTTTTAATAGTCTGGCAAACTCCCCGTGGCGTACCCAATATGCCAAATACCATACAAATAATGGGTCTCATTCTCCTACCCCTGAAAGAGCCTTGAATATGGCACTTTAAAATCTCAGGGCTGGGGCTGGAGAGATAGCACAGCGGGTAGGGCGTTTGCCTTGCACGCAGCCGACCCAGGTTCGATTCCCAGCATCCCATATGATCCCCTGAGCACCGCCAGGAGTGATCCCTGAGTGCAGAGCCAGGAGGAACCCCTGTGCATCGCCAGGTGTGATCCAGAAAGCAAAAAAAGAAAAAAATCTCAGGGCTAAGACGAAGGCGACGTTACTGGTGCCTGCTCGAGGCAATCGACGAACAACAGGATGATCGTGATCGTGATTTATTTTTTCGGTCACACCCAGCGATGCTCAGGGGTTACTCCTGGCTCTGCCCTCAGGAATTACTCCTGGCAGTGCCCGGGGGACCATTGGGATGCTGGGGATCACATCCGGGTCACCCGCGTGCAAGGTAAACGCCCTATCCGCTTTACTATCGTCCTGGGCCCCAAAGGAAACCAGTACTGCTTTTAAGCACCATTTGGGCGCCCCACCCCCCCCAAAAGAAATGCCATTCCTAATACCTGCCACAGCGTGGACAAACCCTGAACACACGGTGCTGAGGTAGCCAGCCCAGACAGAAGAGAGGAGATTCCGTTTCTGCAAAATGTCCCCAATCCAGAGACACAGGAAGTGCAGGAGCGGTCGCCAGGGCGAACAGGCGTGGGGGACTGGGGGTGATGGCTAGCCCGTGGGCTGGGGTGTTTAATGAAGCGTAGGCGTGCAGATGTTCACACACCTTAGTGCGGCGACCTAGATGTGGGACCTTCCTTCCCTTCTGTTCCGCTCCAGTTCTGATTGGGGGCTACACGTCGTGTTACTCCAAGGCTGCTTCTGGCTCTGTGCTCAGAGCTCACACATGGTGCTTGGAGAACTGCACGGAGCCGGGCATTGGACACGCAAAGCACATGCTCTCCACGGGGCCTCGCTCCCACGCCGCGGGTCTTAGCGCGGGGGAATGAGGACTGGGCCGTGGCTCAGCACAGCAAACGTGGCATGTGGATCCGTCCGTGGCCTCTGTGGCCAGCTATAAGCTCCCAACAACATGGGCTCACTCTGCACTACTGCACTTGGGGCGTGGGGTCACACCCAGGGGTGCTCTTGGCTCGCAGGACTAAAGCTGGTAGTCTAAGGTGCCTCAGCCCTTCACATGCTCTACCAGCCCCAAAATTTATTTCCAAACAACTTGGCTTTACCGGGCTGGGATTCCTGGATTGTAGCTGCAGTTGCCAGATAAAAGCCGTGCCCGGGGTCCGGTGAGGAGAACTGGGTGGGCTCCGCTCTCGGCAGCTGCGGGGGGGGTGGGGGGGTGGCCTGACCACTGGGTTGGTCCCTCCTGCAGCTGGCCCTGGCCACCCCAGGCTGCAGGACCAGCCCAGGCCGAGCCCGCCTCTTGTGGGAGCCCTGCAGGGAGGGAGGGGCGGGCGGGCAGGCAGGGAGGGCTGACCTGAAGCACATCCCCGCCAGCCTCCGCCGAGTCCAGCCATGTCCTACCTGGGCCTCCTGCTCCTGCTCTGGCTGCTGGCACCACCGCGACCGTGCCCTGCCTCGCAGGCCCCCCTGCACCCCCACGACGACGAGGCCACTGTGGCTGACCTTGTCCTCTCGGCGCTGGAGAGGGCCACCTCCTTCCTGAGGAGACGCCTGAGGGAGATCAACCTGGACGGCGTGCTGGGCTTCCGGGTGCTGGAAGGTGGGTGCCGCCACCCCTGGGGCCAGCCCCCCGAGGCCACCCTCAGCTGGCCGCCAGCCTGAACTGGGCCAGGGCCTGCCACCTCCTACTGCCCACAGTGCCTGAGACTGGATGGAAGGAGGCGCCGGGCACTGGCAGGGCTGGGGGAAGGGAGGGTTCCCGGGAGAGAAGGAGCCGTGACATGGGGTCCCCTGCCCCCGTATCCCCCAAGTCCTTGAGGGTAGGGCATGGCTGGTCACTCCCTCTGCCTGAGGATGGCCCAGACGAAACCTGGACCCTCCCAATCTGGTTCCAATTGCGGTTCCCCCACGTCCAGCCCCTGGAGGCCCCATGGAGAGCCAAGTGTTTGTTCAGCTTTGAGGGATATAAGATCCCTGTGAGAGCCTGGAGTCCAGCCAAGGCAAGCAGGGACACACACACACACACACACACACACACACACACATGCACACACACACACACACGCACGCATGCACACATACACATGCTCACACTCACACCATATACACATACACACACTCACACACACACACACTTACCCCACACACATACACTTACGCGCATACACACAGTCACACACAGTTATACCCCATGCTTCCCGCCCTCACCCCTCCCCACAGATGGCAGATTCCCAGCCAGAGGAGGGGTGCAGAGCACATGCCCTCACTGCCTCTGGACCCCCGTATCCACCCGACATCCCTCTACCCCCCAGATCCTCGTCCCATCCCTGCAAGCCAGGATCAGATGCAACAAGCCCCAGGTGGTGACTGCTGGAATTCCTCAGCGTGCGCGCACACACACACACACAATCACACACACAGAGGCACGCACACACACACAATCACACACAGGGAATCCTCCCCCGGGTGAAAGGGGCAGGGGCGGCGCCTCACGCTGGCACTGCTCCATGTCCCCCACCCAGTGCAGCTCGAAGGTGTCCGTGAGAAGTGGGCCCGGGACCCGGGGATGCAGCCACTAGGCCTGCGCGCAGAGAAGCTGGCCGAGGAGCTGTCGGGGCTGCTGCAGGGGTCCACACGCCACCTGGAGCACATCGATGCCCAGTACCTGAGAGGTGGGGCACTGGCCGCCTCCTGCGGGGGGTCCCTGAGAGGTGGGGGCACTGGCCGCCTCCTGCAGGGGGGCTGGTATCTGACCGGTGGTGGTGGTGGGGCACCCAGGTCTCCAGCCAGACCACACCAGGGATCGTCCCTGCAGGGAGGGGGCCCTGTCTGAGGTGGGGTGCCCCCCAGGAAAGGGCAGGTGTTGGCAGCTCCCCTGGGCATTCTGGGTCTCCTCCTCCTGGTCCGCGGCGGTGGGGGTGGGGGGGGTAGTCCTGACGCCTTTCCTGCTCTCGCCCAGACAAAGGCCCCCAACTCTTTATCCTCAGACTCCCGGGCTGTGGAGGGTTTGAGCAGGGCCCATCCAGAATATGGTCCTAGAGATCAGAAACTATGAAGGAAGGGCCTGAGCTTGACCCCCAGAACCCCTGGGGTGGTCTTGACGTCCCCAGCACCGAGCACCTCACAAGCCAAGAAGAGCACCTCAGGGACGGACCTGGGGCCCCTCCCCCAACTCCTGCCTGTCCAGACTCATTGCGAGCCTCGGGCTCACGGCCAGGGTGGCCGCAAGGAGGGACACCCCGTGGGGTGGACCCTGGGGGCCACAGCAGCCCCCAGCCCGGGCCCCCTCTGTGCCAGAGTTCCGGCCAACCATCCTGCCCGGCTTCTGGAGGCTGCCGCGCGTCTGGACGCTCACCAACGCCTCCCTGGTGTACCCCACTCTCGAGGGCGAGGACTCGTTCTCGGAGGAACAGAGCGACAAATGCCTGGCGCAGCTGCTGGGGACCTGGTACGACCCCCCCCCCCGCCCCCTGGGGTGCCTCTCTGCCACCCACTCGGCCCACGGAACCAAGAGTTGCCTGGCACCCTGCGCCCATCCCCACCACGGGGGACTCAACCCCCACCTGCGGCTCTGTGCTCAGCCACCCATGTGCCGCACCAGGGGGAGCCCCCCAGCCTGTGAGGCTCAGGACCCACCCCCCCGGGGCCTCTGGTCCAGCCCTGGGTCCCCCAGACCCTCAAAGGCAACTTTCCCTCCCAGCACTGACCTCTGGCCCTGGGGGGGGGGTCCCCTCCTGCCCACCTTGGTATTGGCAGCATCCAAACTTCCTCTAGAATGTTCCCTGCCTGACCAAAAAGAACCCGCTGCCACCCCTGGGTGGGAGGCAGGGCCCAATCGTGTCTGCCTGACTCGGTTTCCTGTCCCTGTGAACCCATCACAGAGGGGCGGGCACTGCACTTGGGCCAGCCCAGGGTCGGGCGTGAGGCCACAGAGCTGTCCGGGGGTTTCCATGGGGGCCACTGACCCTGGCACCACCCACCCACCCCATGCCCCTTCCTGTGCTCAGGCACCTGTGCTCACCTGGCGGGTGCCCGGCCACGGGCCTGGAGCCAGCCAGGGAGGTGGGGGGGATCCAGCCCAGGAAGGGCCATGCCCAAAGCTCAGGGCGCCTGTCCGCAGGGTGGACAGCAGCCAGCCCTGCGCACTCTCGGAAGCCTGCGCCTCACTCATGACCAGGCCCGGCTGCACGGGCTATGCCCTCTCGCACCAGCTGCTCTTCTTCCTCATGGCCAGGATGGTGAGTGGCACAGGGGACCTGGGCCATGGGGCTGGGGTCAGCAGGGGACCCGCTGCTCTCCTTGTCCACTAGAAACCTGAAGCAGACTGGGGGGGGGATGAGGGGGGCTTGGCTCTGTGTTCAGGGCTCTCTCCTAGTTCTGTGCTCACTCACCCCCGGCTCTGTGCTCACTCACTCCCGGCTCTGTGCTCAGGGCTCACTCCTAATTCTGGGCTCAGGGCTCGCTTCTAGTTCTGTGCTCGCTCCCAGCTTTGTGCTCAGGACTCGCTCCCAGCTCTGTGCTAGGGGCTTGCTCCCGGCTCTGTGCTCAGGGGCGATCCCTGGCTGGGCTGGGGTCGGGGGACATTTGCGGTGCTGAGCGTTTAGCTCCGGCGTGCTCTCTGCAGGCGGGCACCACCTCCCCTACCATCCTCCTCTGTTTTCTTCTGTTGTTACTGCTGTTGGGTTTTGCTGGGGAGGGGTTGGGGGCTGCTCCCCGCTTGCACTGTCCGGGACAGAACGGGACCCTCGCATATACAGCAGTGACCCAGCCCCTTCCACTCTCCCCTGCCCGCACTCATTTCTCATGCTACGTTTCTTATTCCTTTGCAAGCTCTCAGACCCGTGTTTTTGCGGATGCAAGATCAAGCGGGCTGCTCTAATCAAATTAATCAATCCGAGTGGACAGTGACCCTGGCACTCCTCCTGTCGCGTGTCCAATCCATAGGGGCTGCTGGTGGGCGACCACAGAGCTGGCACTGGGGTGGGCGAGCAACCTGAGTGCATCTGACTGCTGCATAGCGCCCCCCAGTGTCCAGAGGCCTGGCTCGCACCCACCCGTCCAAGCCCACCCCGAGGCCCCAGGACGGAACGTTTAACTCCGCCGAACCAAGCCGCTGAGAGCAGGAGCCGGTGGCAGACTCAGCAACTGGGAGAGAGGCAGGGATCACACTTAAGGGTGGCGGTACTCGCCAGCCCGCTGAGAAGTTGGGGGTGGGGGGGCTGCGCCCAACTCCCGTGCCCTGGTGTTTGCAGATGGGCTGCACCGCCGGGGTGTTCGGCCACAGCCAGCACTACATGGACCGCTTCTGCGCCAACATGCTGCTTGTCAACCGCAGGGTGGAGGCGGGGGGATACCCCCCCATCGCCCGGGATATCTTCTGCGAGAACAGTGAGCCCGTCCCCCTCCAGGGCCAAGCAGCAGGGTGGGCGCACACGCAGCAGGGCTGCCGGACATCGCAGTGAAGCCACGTGGTGGCCATTGAAGCCCAAATGTGGGACCCACCACAAATGCACCGTTCGCAGAGGGCCACCCCGGGCACTGCCGGGCGGCACTAACAGGCGGGGGAGGGGGGGGTCTTATTTCTTATTTGTTCAAACCTCAAACTTCACTGGGCGCCCATGATACTTCATGCCCCGCTGGTCACTGCTTCCTACCTCCAGAGGCAACCACTGTGTCCTAGCTGTGGGTGACAAACTGCCTACAGACCATCTTAGAGACAAGGGGATGGGGTTCCTGTGGTCCTGCTGGGCCTGGGTGTTCTGACGCCCCCATCCCGACTCTGGTCCGGAATGCCTTAGCTCAGGGAGAGGCTCCAGGGAGACTGTCTTGGGGACACGCCTGCAGGCCCCCTGCCTTGGGGGACACGTCTGCAAGCCCCCAACCTTGGGGGACACACCCACAGGCTCCCTGCCTCGGGGGACACGCCTAAAGGGCCCCCAATCCTGGGGGGCCACGCCTGCAGGCCCCCTGCCTTGGGGGACATGCCCACAGGCCCCTGCCTTGGGGGACACGCCCACAGACCCTCAGTCTTGGGAGCATGACCAAAGGCCCCTGTCCCACACCTGCCTCTGTTCCCAGTCATGTTCTGCGGGATCAGTGGCTTCCTGGACTTCTACAAGCCCAGGTGGCTGGAGGCCATCCTCAGCTGGCAGCTGGCCCCGGAAGGCTGCTTCGGCAGGACTGGTAAGCTGCTTCCGCCCCAGTGAAGAGCGGGAGGGTACAGCGAAGTCACCGCGGGTGACAGGGAGCACTGCAGCATCCATGGACAGGAGCACGTGAGCACACAGCACACAGCATACAAGACACACAGCACACAGACACACACAGACACACAGCACATGGACATACAGACGCATGGACACACACACACAGACACAGCACACAGACACCCAGCACACGGATGCACAGATGCAGACACACAGGAACACAGGCATACACAGACACATGGCACATGTGCACACACAGCACACACACAGGCACACAGCAGACACACGTGCACATACACAGTACACACAGGCACACCTGTGCACACACACAGCACGCATGCACAAGCTGTAATGGGTTCACGGTTCTGGGGCACAGGCTCTTAGAGGCAGGGGGCAACTTGGGAACCCACAGCCCCTCCAGCACAGGGAAGCTGTGTGCGTGGGGGGATGCTGCTCCCTTACGCGGGGCCCCCACGCCTCAACCTGGGTGGGACGAACTTTGCAGCCACCTCCCTGAGCAGGCATAGCCGGGAGACCCCTGGCCATTGTCACTGCAGGACACTGCTGGGGCCAGAAGTTCTGGAGCAATGTTTGCTTCTCAGAGGGGCTGGGCGAGCCAGGGCTTGGGGCACAGCAGGGGTGGGTGCTGGGGAGGCCCCCTCTGGCACCTAAACAAACAGAGCAGAGGAGCGTGTTGGGGCAGAGAGAGAGACCAGGGGGGGCACTGGCCTGGCCTGATTCCCAGCTCTCCACAGGGTTCCCCCAGCACAGCCAGGAGGAACCCCTGAGCACCTGGGCTCACCCCTGGCCCTCCAAAAAAATAGAGGGTGAAGAATGCGGGTTCCCGGGCTGGGGGGGGGGGCTGAGGGAACTGCATATCAGGGGGTCCTGACGGAGGCCCAGGGTCCACCCCGTGATTCCCGGCCAGTCGGGAGCAAGTTCAGTGCCAAGGGCGCGAGGACGCTCCTGAATCACACCCCCGCAGTGCTCGGGGGACCCTGAGGTAGCCACAGTGCTGTGTCCCCGGGGCTGGGGAGCAGGGTGGAGGGGTGAGGTCCGCTGTCCGCTCTCCCCGCAGAGGAAGGGGCGGCCGCCTCCCTGCGCAGCCGGGCCCGGCGCCACTCTCTGAGACGCGTGAAGCGGAGGGACAGACAATTCACAGGTGACGAAATCCCCCAGGGATCCCCTGGGCGTGGGCCTGACCCCCGCAGAGGCTCTGGCTGGTGGGGCCAGGCAGGTGGGGGTGCGGGGACCCCACCAGCTACAGGGCCTGCGAGTTTCCAGGAATCGCGACTCCAGCCCAGGGCTAATCAGGAAACTGGAGCCACTTTGGGGCAGAGAGGGAAGGGGGGAAACTCAGCTCACGGGTCAGCAGGCAGTCGGGGGAGCGAGGGGGAGGGGGCTCGGAAATGGCCCAGAAGGGGGCACTTGGCTCTGATGCCCCGAGCAGCGGAGGTTGCAGCCATCCAGGGCCCAACCTGAACCCCTCCATGGTGGGAGTGGCTGCCCCACTCTGGGCCTCAGTTTCTCCATCTGTAAAGTGGACCTAAACCGAGTGTCAGATCCCAGAGCCCCTCGAGGGGGCGATGGCCCCAGGCAGGCTGAAGGGGGGGCCCTGAGGGTTGAGAGGTGAGGGCACTGTGGCCACCCGGGTCTCAGTTTCCCTGCCTGCAGAACAGGGTCACCCATCAGGCATTGTCCTCGAGGGCCTGGGGGCAGGTTTGGCTGCTGCTTCGGGACAAGCCCAGCACCCCTTCTCTCCCCGCAGACGGCTGCTCCTCCCACAACACGGCTGTGGCCGTCGCGGCACTGGGCGGCTTCCTCTACATCCTGGCGGAGCGTCCCCCTGCTCCCGGCCGCTGAGAAGCTGGACTCGTGGGCGCTGGACCCCTCTGTCCTTGAGCTGGACTCCACCCCCACCCCCAGCTGGGGAGGAGATGTCTCCCCTCATCCTTTGGGTGGGGGGATCGGGGTGGAAAGGGGGAGCTGGCGAGGCCCGGTGGGAGCAGGGAATAAACTGATGTCCGGAATGGCCATCCGCTGGTGTCTGGGTCTGGGGGCGAGTCAGGGCAACCCCGGGACCTGGTGGAGTCAGATGTTACCAGCCCCAAGACGCATCCTCCTCTCTCCAGCCTCTTGACAGCACGTCAGGTGTTAACTGTGTGCCCAGGGGGACACTGCGTCCTTTCAGGCATGAAGCAGCCCTTCGCTGGGAGGGGGGGGGCCTCAGAGCAGCAGCTCGGGTCCCCTGCCCCAGGCAGGGCTGGCCTGGATGCAGGAGCACCAGGGATGGGCCCGGGACATCCCCAGCCTGGCCCGGCAGCGTCTTACCGGGGGTGTGTGACAGCCGACTGCCAAGTCTCCGTCCATCCCTGATCCTGAGCCCGGGATTCCCGAGGGCTGCAGGGGCTCTGGCCTCCCGGGAGCGGGGGCAGGGATGGCTTGAAGGACCCCCGGGGATGGGGTGCATGTGGGAGCCCAGGTTTGACCCCAGCCCCGCACAGAAATGACCTTAAAACCAACCTCACAAAAGCCCCCCAAACATGGGGCCACAGCAATAGCACAGCAAGGAGGACGTTTGCCTTGCACACGGCCGACCCGGGTTCAATCCCTGGCATCCCCTAGGGTCCCCCAAGCACTACCAGGAGTAATTCTTGAGTGCAGAGCCAGGAGTAACCCCTGAGCGTCGACGGGTGTGACCCAAAAAACAAAAACAAAAACAAAAACAAAACAAAAAAGCTCCCGAACCTCAGCAGGGGTCCGGGAGCTGCCTGTGGGGGTGAGGGGGCCATTGGGGAGGGGAGAATGACTCGGACCCCTGTCCTCGGGCTCGGAGCCTTTAAAGTCACTTCTTAAGCCACTCATCTTGCTCCACTTCAAAGGTGAAACTAGACTCTGGGCAAGCTGGTGTGTTCAAATGCCCTCTGTGCTCGTGGCCCAGTAACAGAAGGGAGGGTCTCAGGCTGACACCCCGGGGGTCTCGGTTCCATCCCCACACACAGCTCTAACCCTCTCCTAGGGCTTCAGGCTGGGGGGGACGGGAGTTCCAAGCCATCTGAGGGTCCGCTGTAGGAGCGTGGTTTGCTTCCGAGGGGACCCCAGCAGCCACCCAGCACTCTGGATGCCCCGAGGATTTCTTCCATGTCGCCCAGAGAGCAAACACTGACCGCAATGGCACACAAACCCCAAAGAAGCCACCTCCACTCCGGGGGATTAGGGGGAATTATGTGACTCCCTGCCCCACCTTTCCTGACTCCTGGTGGATCAGCCCAGTTGAGAGCTTGAGAGTGCTCAGATCCGGGAGCGAGTGACTCCAGGGAAACCTGAGCTCGAAGTCACTTTCTAAAAAGGAAAAGGAAAGTTCCCGGATGTGGTTAGCGGGGCAGGGCAGGAGGGACTTAAAGCACTGGCCTGGCACTGGTGAGCCCAGGGCTGTCGCTATTCCTGGCACCATAAAAGAAAAATCCATCTTCCCTCGGTCGATCAACGCACAGCCCGGCAGCAGCGTGCCCGTGGCCTGGGTCAGTGCAGGAAACACGTACTTCCTCCATCTCACACCCTGTGGCTGCTGGGAGCCTTGGGAGCCTGGGAGGTGCCGGAGAAAGCTCCGTGGGCAGAGCCGTGTCTCCAGGAAACGGGCTGAGAGGGGCACACACTGCCAGCGGGGTCTGTAGGAGCCACAGCCCAGGCCTCCGTCCGTCTGTCGGTCCACCAGCAAGGCGAGCACCAGGCTCCTCGCCCCCGCCCCGACCCGGTCCGCCTTGGCCATGCCCCGCATGATCCAGAGAAGGGTTCCTGGTGACTGGACTTTGTCTAACATCACTGCACAACTCCCCCGCGTTTGCTACTCTTAAAGCGGGTTTCAAACTAAGCAACCAGGGGCTGGAGTGATTGCACAGCGGGGAGGGCTTTATGCCTTGCATGCGGTTGACCCAGGTTCGATTCCCAGCATCCCATATGGTCTGGTCCCCCGAGCACCGCCAGGAGTCATTCCTGAGTGCAGAGCCAGGAGGAATCCCTGTGCATCACTGGGTGTGACCCAAAAAAGAAATAAAAAACTGAGCAACCAAGCACCCTGGCTTCCCCTTCCCCTGGGGCTGGAATCCAAACATCCAAACTGGCTTCTTGGAGCTCTTCGGGGACCCGGCGTCTGCCCGCGGCACCCTGCTCTTCTCCCAGCTAATGGTCCTCAGACTCCGCTTGGCACCAGCCCCCGCACGGAGGAGCGGGGCAGGAGGTATTCCACAGCTGTCCCCATCTCCCGCCTCCCTCCACCTCTGTTCTGTCTTGCCATGTCCCCACTCTCCACGCTGCAACAGTTTCCTGTCACTTTCCAGGCCCGGAGCTGCTCCACACACACACAGGTACCATCCCCAGCACCACTGGGCTCCCCAAGCATCGACCAGACTGACCCTCAGGGAGTAGCCCCCTCACACCTCCAGGCACCGCTGGTAAACAAAGCAATGGCAGCGTCCAGTCAGGGTTGCCTGTCCCTGGCCCCTGCGCCTGCGCCCATGGGCAGACAGCCTCTTCCCCAGGAGGCCTCTGCTCACCTCTCACCAGCAGAGCCAGGCGGGCGCATCTGGCCGCTCACAGGGCCCAGCCCCGGCCTGGCCCGGCCTCATTCTCAGGGATGGTCTCCCACATCCAAAGAGGGAGAGGCAGCACCGTCCTGCTGAAAATGGCGCGGTGACTGGAGAAACACAAGGAGGGTCAAGACCTCTGTCCTGCCTGCAGTGTCTGCAATCAGAGCCACAGAAAGACTCTGCAACTGTTCCAGGTCGGGGCACAGAGAAATGGAATGCAAGTGGCACCGCTGAACGACGCTCATGGTGGGGAAAGAGCTACAATGCTTGTGATGGGAACGAGGGCTGGAGGGGCGCCTGCTCTGCCAGGGTCCTCCAGGCTCTGTAGATCCCTGGAACCAGACAAGGGCCGAGGGGCACCACCACCACCACTTGGAGTCTTGACTTAAGAGCCAGAAAGAGCTCCTGAGCACTGAAGGAGCCATTACAGACCTCCGTCCGTCTGTTTCAGGCAAACAATGGGCAAAACTGGCATGGCCCTATGGATTAAACTCCATCAAAGTGCCTGGGTGGGTGAGAAAATGTCCTTCTTCTGGGATGCATCGCTAGGACATGATGGAGTCTGAGCACGTGATGGCAAACAGTGACGGGAAAACTGAGTATTGGGGGGCTGGAGAAATAGTAGAGTGGGTAGGTCCCTGGCCTTGCACGGCTGACCTAGGTTCGATCCCTGGCATACTTTATAGTCCCCTGAATACCGCCAGGAATGACTCCTGAGCACAGAGCCTAGAGTAAACCCTGAGCACTACCAGGTGTGCCCCCCCCCCCAAAAAAAAAGAAGGAAAAAGGAAAGAAAAATGTATATGCACAGTGAGGCAGGGAGAGTACAGCGGGTAGGCTATTTGCATGGTACCGGACCGACCCGGGCTCGATCCGCAGAATCCCATGGGGTCCCCTGTGCACTGCCAGGAGGGATACCTGAGTGCAGAGCCAGGAGTTACCCCTGGGCATCGCCAGGTGTGGCCAAAAAGAAAGGTAAGGAAAAATGTGTATGCGTGAACGTCATCCCGCAAAGCAAATCTTAAAGGGAAGAATGTATGTGGAAGTACGTGAAATGAAAAGTATGTGGAATGAGAGTATGTGGAAGTTGGGGGCTGGAGCGAGAGTACAGGGGGTGAAGGCATTTGCTCCGCACGGGGCCAACCCGGGTTCAATTCCCAGCATCCCATAGGGTCCCCCAGCACCGCCAGGAGTTAACTGCTGAGTGCAGAGCCAGGAGTAAACCCCGAACATTGCCGGGTGTGACCCAAAAAGTCAAAAGAAAAGAAAAGAAAAGAGGGGGCTGGAGTGATAGCACAGCGGGTAGGGCGTTTGCCTTGCACGCGGCCGACCCGGGTTCGATTCCCAGCATCCCATAGGGTCCCCTGAGCACCGCCGGGAGTGATTCCTGAGTGCAGAGCCGGGAGGAACCCCTATGCATTGCCGGGTGTGACCCAAAAAGTCAAAAGGAAAGAAAAGAGGGGGCTGGAGTGATAGCACAGCGGGTAGGGCGTTTGCCTTGCACGCGGCCGACCCGGGTTCGATTCCCAGCATCCCATAGGGTCCCCTGAGCACCGCCAGGAGTAATTCCTGAGTGCAGAACCAGGAGTGACCCCTGAGCATTGCCGGGTGTGACCCAAAAAGCAAAATACATATATATATATGTATATATATATAGATGAGGGGCTGGAGCGATAGCACAGCGGGTAGGGCGTTTGCCTTGCACGCGGCCGACCCGGGTTCGATTCCCAGCATCCCATAGGGTCCCCCGAGCACCTCCGGGAGTGATTCCTGAGTGCAGAGCCAGGAGGAACCCCTGAGCATCGCCAGGTGTGACCCAAAAAGCAAGAAAAAGAAGAGAAAAGAAACGTGGAAGCCCCTCCTAGTCGCCTAGCCACGCCCTGAGCGCCTGGAACTCAGGCGGCGCCACCCGGCTCCTCCCCCAAACGCGAGAGACCCGCAGAGACCCGCCGCCCGCGGCCCGGGTCACGTGGGGGCGCGCACGTGACCGGACGTCCGCGTCCAACATGGCGGCGCCCATGGCCCGCTGGCTCCTCTTCCTCCTCGCGCCGCTCAGCCTCCGCGGCGAGGCGTCCGGGGACGCGGGCGCGGGGTGAGTGCGGCCCCCCGGGGCGCGGGGCGTGCCCCCCGCGCGGGGGCCGCCCCGGCTCACGCCCGCCCGCTCCCCGCAGGGCCTCCCTGGAGGACGACGTGCTGCTGCCCTACCCCCGCGGGCGCGCGCGCCTGGCCCGGGACTGCGCCCGGGTGCGCGCGGGCCGGCGCGAGCACGAGCGCTGGCCGGCCGCCCCGGGCGCGGGCCCCCCGGAGGTGCGCCCCTTCGTGTCGCACTTCGGGGGCCGCGCCGTGGCCGGCCGCCTGACGCGGGCCGGCGACCCCCTGCGCACCTTCTCGGTGCTGGAGCCCGGCGGGCCCGGCGGCTGCGCCCGGCGGCAACGCGCCACGGTGCAGGAGACGGCGCGGCGGGCGGGCTGCCTGGTGGCGCAGAACGGCGGCTTCTTCGGCACGGGCACGGGCGAGTGCCTGGGCAACGCGGTGAGCGACGGGCGCAGGGTGAGCAGCGCCGGGGGGCTGCAGAACGCGCAGTTCGGGATCCGCCGCGACGGGACCCTGGTGACCGGGTGAGGAGGCGGCGCGGCGCGGGCGGAGACGCACCTGCGGAATCCCGGGGGTCCCCTGGGCACCGCCAGGAGGGTCGCCTGAGTGCAGAGCCAGGTCACCCCCGGGCATCGCCAGGAGGGACGCCTGAGTGCAGAGCCAGGTCACCCCTGGGCATCGCCAGGAGGGACGCCTGAGTGCAGAGCCAGGTCACCCCCGAGCATCGCCAGGTGCGGCGCGGGTGGGGGGCGTCGTGCCCCCCTGCCCGGTTTTCCCCGTGCCGGGCGGGAGGCCGCCGCGCGCTGGACGCGTCCTAGCGGACCCGAGCCTGCACCCTCTGCCTTCTCCCCTCGCTCCGGAGAACGAGCAGGACCCAGGGGCGCGGCCCGGGAGGCGTTGGGAGCGGGGGGCAGGGCCGTTGCGCGGACAGCCGAGATCCAGGCAGGTCCAGGCAGGTCCAGGGCGGAGTGGAGGAAAAGCCGAAGGAGCTGCCGGCCGTGGCCCAGAGGTGCCCCCAAGGGTCCCGGGCGGGAGCAGACCCAGGAGGGCAGAACTGCCTTTGCCCCCTCTAGCCCGGCCGGAGAGCAGGCGGGGGCCAGAGTAGAAGCGAAGATTGGGACTTGCGGACTTTCGGGCCTGGCCCCTGGGGGGCTTTGGCTTGTTCGGGTTTTGGCCACGGCCTCCGGGCTCTGCTCCAGTGGCTCATGTTTTGAGTGGGGGAGACCCAGGTTCGATCCTAAGCAATACGGGGGTCCTCTGAGCACCAGAGGAAGTGAACCCCCGTCCCAGGCACGGCTCTGCTTCACTCCAGGCATCGCCCCTAGGTACTGCAGAGAAAAGGGATGTTTCAGGCTGGACAGACGGTACAGGAGTTCAGGCACTGCCGCGGGTTCAGTGCCTGACACCACCTGAGCCTCCTTACCCAGTGCTCCAGGAGAGACCTGAGCACAGAGCTAGAAGCAGGCCCCCCCAAACACCACAGTAAATGACATTCTTTAAGAGGAGTTTGGGTGCTGAGTCAGTTGAGCGCAGGAAGGGCCCGAGGTGGCTTGGGGACGGCCGTGTCTGGGAGGTGAGGTGTGGCGGGCACCCCAGCCATGGACAGCGGGCAGAGCCCCGCTGCCCACAGCCTTCCCTGCAGCTGAGTGAGCCTCACCCCTGCCGTGCCAGGTACCTGTCCGAGGAGGAGGTGCTGGACACTGAGAACCCTTTTGTGCAGCTGGTGAGTGGGGTCGTGTGGCTGATTCGCAATGGAAGCGTCTACATCAACGAGAGCCAAGCCACCGAGTGTGAAGAGACACAGGAGACAGGTGTGTGTGTGTGTGTGTGTGTGTGTGTGTGTGTGTTGTGTGTCCCGGTTAGTACAGTCATGAGACTAGGCTGGATGGAGGAATCAAACCTTCCCACACCGAGTGTGAAGAGACACAGGAGACAGGTATGTGTGTGTGTGTGTGTGTGGTGTGTCCTGGTTAATACAGTCCTGAGACCAGGCTGAATCAAACCTTCCCACAGGTGTGTGTGTGTGTGTGTGTGTGTGTGTGTGTGGTGTGTGTGTGTGGTGTGTCCTGGTTAATACAGTCCTGAGACCAGGCTGAATCAAACCTTCCCACAGGTGTGTGTGTGTGTGTGTGTGTGTGTGTGTGTGTGTGTGTGTGGTGTGTGTGTGGTGTGTCCTGGTTAATACAGTCCTGAGACCAGGCTGAATCAAACCTTCCCACAGGTGTGTGTGTGTGTGTGTGTGTGTGTGTGTGTGTGTGTGTGGTGTGTGTGTGTGGTGTGTCCTGGTTAGTACAGTCCTGAGACCAGGCTGAATCAAACCTTCCCACAGGTGTGTGTGTGTGTGTGTGTGTGTGTGTGTGTGTGTGGTGTGTGTGTGTGGTGTGTCCTGGTTAGTACAGTCCTGAGACCAGGCTGAATCAAACCTTCCCACAGGTGTGTGTGTGTGTGTGTGTGTGTGTGTGTGTGTGTGGTGTGTCCTGGTTAGTACAGTCCCGAGACCAGGCTGGAGGAATCAAACCTTCCCACAGGTGGCGCTGTGGTACCGGGAGTTGGGGGGGGGGAGGCACAGGCCTCGCGTGTGGCCGAGCCACGTCACGCTATCTGGATCTGGCCTCCACAAAGCCTGGAGCACACTCCCCCGCCTCATCCCTGCTGCTCCCCTCAGGCTCCTTCAGCAAATTTGTGAATGTGATCTCTGCGCGGACAGCCGTGGGCCACGACAGGGAGGGGCGGCTGGTGCTGTTCCAGGCTGACGGGCAGACAGAGCAGCGGGGGTGAGTGTCCAAGCCTCGGGGAACCGTGGCCCCCGAAAGCCACCTTCTCCATCCTGGGCTCCCTTTGTCCCCAGAAAGGGTCCCCAGGGTCTGTCCTGCTCACAGGAGCCTCAGGTGCTCCGTCCACTCGCCCTCAGTCTCCCCAGCTTCCGCCCCCTCCATCCAGAGCCCTGGTTGGAATGGAAAGTAGGTGGAGAAGCCGTCTGTGGGCTGTGACCACGCACGGCAAATCCCTGAGCCTCTCTGAGCTGTCCCTCCTCTGTCTCAGCAGCTGGTGCCGGTTTGAGTCACTGCCCCACGGTGGGGGTCAAACAGCACCCACTGGGTCAGTCTGATTTGCAGGGCCAAGGCGGACAGGGCTGCAGGGTCCACGCTGACAGGCCAGGGGGCTCTGGGGTGTCCTGTGGGCTGTCCGTGGGCGCCGCCCCCTGCCCGTCTCCCTGGAGACCCAGCCTGTCCTCAGGCCCGTGAAGCTACGTCACCAGCCAGAGAGGATGCTGTGCCGGCAGAGCCATGCGACCGGCTCTCGGTGTGGCGTGGGGGGCCTGGCCGCCCCGCGTGGCCGGGCACTGAGGCTCCATTTGCCGCAGCATTAACCTGTGGGAGATGGCCGACTTCCTGCTCAGACAGGACGTGGTCAACGCCATCAACCTGGATGGAGGCGGCTCCGCCACCTTTGTGGCCAACGGCAGCCTGGCCAGTTACCCATCAGACCACTGGTGAGCACCCTGCGGACGGGCAGGAGTTAAGTCCAGGCGTGTTCCTCCTGGGCTCCCGCTCCAGTGCTCAAGGATTGGGAGCCAGAGTCTCTGCTGCCCCTGGACAGGGGGTGGAATGCGGCGCCGGCCCTTCCCTCCTGTGGGCGGGGCTGGGGAGGGGTCCTGGGGGTGGGGCAGCACTGACCCCCTCCTTCCCCCATCCCCCCTCCCCCGCAGCCAGGAGAACAGCATGTGGCGCTGCGCGCGGCGTGTGTCCACTGTGGTGTGCGTGCACGTGCCCCGCTGCCAGCCGCCTGACTGCAGTGGCCACGGGACCTGCGTGTCCGGGCGCTGCCAGTGCTCAGGGCGCTTCTGGCGGGGTGACGCCTGCAACCAGCTGGACTGTGGCCCTGCCAACTGCAGCGGCCACGGACTCTGCACCGAGAGTGAGTGGGGGCGCCCGGGAGGCGGCCCCCGCGGGCACCCCCCACCCGCCCTCCCGGGCCCTCACCTGACTGCATCCTGCTTGTCTTGGCAGCTGGCTGCCGCTGCGAGGCGGGGTGGACAGGGCCCAACTGTGGTGAAGGTGAGATGGGGCACGGGGAGGGAGCACTGTAGGGGGAGCAGCGAGAGGAAGGGAGCCCCCGGGAGGAAGGGAGTGCAGGGAGGGGAGTTGGGGGTGAGGGGAGCTCTGGGAGGAAGGGGAGCTCAGGGTGGGAAACATGGGGAGGAGGGGCGCATGGGGATGGGGAGCACGGGGAGGAGGGAAGCTTGGGGAAGGAAGCACAGGGAGGAGGGGAGCACGGAGAGGAGGGGAGTGGTGGGGAGCTTGGAGAGGGGAGCACAGGGGCCGGGAGCATGGGGCAGGGAACATGGGGAGGAGGGGAGCTTGTGGAGGGGAGCACGGGGGAGGGGAGTATGGGGATGGGGGGCACGGGCAGTGTGACCTTCTCTGCGTGCTGAGCCCGGCCAAGCTTCCCCAACTCTCAGGGAGCCGGTGCACGCCTTTGGGCCAAGTGTGGGGCGCCCAGGCGGGAGGTAGTGCCGAGCGTGCAGGGTCCCTCTCCCCAACTCCTTGGGCAGACTGTGCCCACCCTGGCCTGTGCCACAGCAGAGCGGCCTGAGGCCCTGTCCAGGGCACCTGCTCCTGCCCCCGGGCTTCCCCAGTGTGCGGGGGGAGGGGGCGCTTGAATGGGGGCCCTGGAGAGCTCCGTGGCCGCTGACCCCGGGTCGCCCATGAGTGTGAGTGTGAACCCCGGTGTCCCTACGACCCCCCACCCGTCTCTTACAGAGGAGGAGTGCCTGCAGCTCCCCAAGGGTGCCCCCCGGACCGGAGCTTCCCCGCTGCTCACAGGGTAGGTGCCCCCACCCGCCCACCCGTGCGCGCAGGCAGGAGCACCCCCGCCACCGCAACGCTCACAGACCTCGATGGGGCACGGCCCGTGGATGCCCGGGTGGCATCTTCCGACGTCAGTGTGGGGGGCAGGGGGAGAGACCACGGCTGAGGCACGCATGCTCCGGGCACTGACTCGGGTCTCCCTCGCTCCAGGACCGCCTGGCTGGGCCTGACCCTGGCGCTGGGCTCCCTCCTGCTGGTCAGCATGGCGGTCAACGTGGCCCTGGCGCTGGGCTCGCGCGTGGAGCTCAGCCGGCACCTGGACGGCGCTTACGACTACCACCCACTGCAGGAGATGAACGGGGAGCTGCTGCCCGCAGACAAGGAGCCGCGGGGGGACGCCCAGAACCTGTGCAGGGACTGACCGCCCCGCCGGCCTTGTGAAGGCTGGTCTCCGCACTGTCCTGCTTCCGCAGGGCCACCGACCCTCTGGCGCCGTCTGCCAGGGTCCCAGCCCAGCACATGGGCCGCACCTGGCCGCCACCTCTCTGCAGCGCCCCCTGGAGGAGACCATGACTTCCTGCAGGAGTCTGTCCCTTCCTGTCCTCCCCACTCTGCAGCAGCCCCCCAGAGGAGACTGGCCCTTACTAGCGCCTCCTGGAAGCAGCCGTCCTTTTCTGCTGCGCCCCCTGGAGGAGACTAGAGGCCCCCCGAGGGCCTTCCTGCAGGCCCTCTAAGCGGCATCCCCAGAATAGGGACCTCTGCCGGTGACGACCAGAACTTGTTACAATGGGGTCGCGTGTTGGAGTGGAAGAGACTCAGGACCTCACTGCTGTCCACCCTCCAGACCTCACTGCCAATTTCCAGGAACACAAGTGCCAAACTCGCCAGCTTACGTCCGTTTCCCGTCTCAGGCCACTCCCCAGCAGGGGAGGGTCCTGCCCCGCACCCCCGGGGAGGGGGACACGTACGCTGGACTAATAAAGGGCGTACTGAGGGGACTGGAGCCTGGGTTCTGAATCACGACACCAGGAAGCCCGAGTCCGGCGGCGGCCGTGGCTGATGGGTCCCCGTGTGCATGCCCGTGTAGACTGGGGAGTGGCTCAGGGCAGAGGCGGCATCGGGACAGGCGGTGTTGTATGCCAGAGGAGCTTAGCCTGGCGGGCACCCTGCACACGTCCCCATTCCTGCAGCTGGCTCTGGAGCCTGGCTGAGCGGGGTCAGGCCCTAGAACCCAGGGCCAGGGCACGGGGCACCCCCACACCGAAGCGTGTGAGGAGGGAAAGAAGTCCCATCTCTGCCCCCCGCAAAGGCCCAGAGGCAGCTGTCCCCGGGGAGGCGGCTGTGCCCAGGCTGACGTCAGCAGCCACCCGCAGCTCAGACATGCCGCTCCAGGGAGCTCCTGACCCCTACCCGGCAGCCCCCGAGGGGACTCGCTGTACCCCAGAGGGGGTGGCGGGTGTGGGGGCCACAAAGGAACGGCCCCTCCTCTGCACCCCACGAGGTTGGTGGGGTGCTGTGCTGTACTGCTCTTCCTGCACCCTCTTCCTTTCCTTCCTACTCTCCAATAAGCTTTTCTACTTTCTGAAACAAGAATCAAGGACCGCAGGAATCCCGCAGCCCTCCCCCTCAGCCCCCAGACACGGCCCCATCTGGATGCCCTCCCACCCTTGGGTTATTTTGTTTGCAGGTTTTTCATGCTTCGGTTTTCAGGCTGATGCTGCGGGGCCTGGTGTGGCGCCAGGTCAGCCCCAAGCAGGGCAATTCTTAACCCCACGCTGTCTGCAGCCCCCACACCCACATTCCTGTGTTTTTGTTTTGGGGATCACACTGGCGTTGCTCGGGGGTTACTCCTGGCTCTGCACTCAGGAATCACTCCTGGTGGCTCAGGGGACCGTTTGGGATGCCGGGGTTGAACATGCAAGGAAAGCGCCCTCCCCGCTGTACCATCACTCCAGCCCCCCACACCCAGATTCTCGAGCTGGCTGCGCTGTGGGTTCCCCACCCCCCACCCCCAGCTCCAGACCTGGAAACACACGTCTGTGGTTTTAAGGTGCCAAACTGGGGTCACTGGTGAGCGCAGTGTAGGGCCCCTGGCACAGACCCAGCTCAGGGTCTGGATGTCAACAGGTCCATGCTCGTGCCCCCAAGCAACAGGGACGGGTCCCCCCGCCCTCCCTGAGGCCCAAGGAGCCACCTGGGTCTCAAGAGTCCGGCGACAAAAAAAAAAAAAAAAAAAGAGTCCGGCGACAGAGATGCTTCCAAGTCAGAGGTTTAATGCTTCTGTCTGAAGGGGCAGGACAAGAAAGCGCGCACTGCAAACCAAGGAGAGGCAGGGAACGCCTCACACCCTTCTTCCCACCCCCGGAGCTGATGACATGTCCCTCTGTCCTCTGCCCAAGGAGGCAGCGTCTGCAAGGCCGAGTCCACGGCCCCTCAGCTCAGAGGGAAGCAGGGCCGACGCCATCATTCTTCGGGTGCACAGGGGAATGAGCTGAGTTTGGGGGAGTCACCCCAGTGGTGCTCAGGGGTTGAGCTCGGAGCTCCCGCGTACAAAGTCGTGTTCAGCCCTGCACCCCACTCCCGCCCTCAGGAGGGAGAAGCTGTGTTGGCTCGCAGGAGGCCCGCCGCCACCCCCCGCCTCAAACACATTCAGCTTCCCCGCGGGGCACTATGCCAAGGCTCTTACGGCCCAGTGGATGAGGTAGGCACTGTCTCCCCGCCTGGCACATGGGGAAACTGAGGCACAGAGGTGACGTCACCTGCTGGAGGGCCCATAGCCAGTGAAAGGAAAGGCTTGGTTTGGAAACCACCCGCCCCCCCTAAAATGGAAACCCCTGGTGCTCCTACCACAGTGCTCTCTGCCCCAGCCAAGACAGAGAAAGGAATAAGAGGGGGTTGGGAATGGCAGCTCTCCCTGGGTGCTGGGTCCAGTTGCAGCCCCCAAGGGAAAGGACCATGGATGGTTCTAGACTTCCTAGGTCGCTAACCACTGACTAGGAGTGTCTGGGGGGCTTGGCAGGAACTTGGAGAGAGGTTCTCTTCTGCAGCTGCACTGAGGGTTGAGGGGAAGGGGGAGAATTCTGAAGAAAACGGGGTCCCCTGCGTGGCAAAGGCACCTGAGAAGGGGCCACCCAAGGGCCAACGGCACCCGCGGCCCCCCCGACTCGGGAAGCCGGAAGGACGCGGCTCTGTCCTGGCGTCGGCATCACGGCACCGTGGGGCCCGTGTGGTCCCGGGCTTGCTGCGAGCTGGTTCCGGCCGCCCGGCAGGCTCCCGCCCCTACCTGGAGGCCAGAGAGCTGCTGTGGGACTGGCCCGAGGAGGACGAGGACGTGGCCGCGCTGAGCTGGGAGAAGCCGCTGGTACAAGACTCCAGGCTAGACATGGAGCCCCTGGGAGGAAGCGCCTGCGTCAGCCCCACGGTGCAGGGGGAGCTGCAGGTGCCGCCAATGAGGCCCCAGGGCTGCCACCCGGAGCAAGAGGGCACACGCGAGAGCCAGGCGAAGTCCCGTGAGACGCCGTCCCCAGCTCCCCGCCTCCCGCGCCCGCCCCAGGCCCTGCACCCCACGCCCACCTGAAGTCCTCCGACGCCAGCACCTCGTAGTAGTACAGGAGCTTGCACCTGGGTCCCGGGCTCTGCGGGGCATCGTCCCCGCCTGGGGGGCTGTGCATCCTCCACTGAAGCACGTACAGGCCAGGCCAGCGGGTCACGTGGGAGCCCTGCAAGGACAGACACGCGAATGGAGGGAGGGAGGGAGGGACAGACGCAGAGGCGGACACGGGAGCAGATGGGCGGGGGGCCACCTCCTCCCCCACCCCACTGTGCTCTTTCCCAACCCCAGGCCATCCCTGCTTCCCTCCGCTGAGGGCGTCCCTTGGAACCTGGGAGCCAGGGCTGGGCAGGGGCGGCTGCAGGCACAGTCGCTGCCTAACTGGGTGACGACGGGGATACGGGGTCCCCGTCAGGAGGGGAGGAGCTGGATCATGAGCAAAGGAGCGGCCGCTCACTGCTCGGCTGCAGCAAGAGGTTGGCACCCTGGGGGGGCGCAGGGGAGAAGAGCACCTGGGAGGGGCATGTGCGCCCATGTGTGTATGTGTGTGCTGCTATGTGTGAGGTGTGTGCCTGTGGGGTGCGCTGCGTGACTGCACATGTAGGGTCGGTGTACATGAATGTGAGTGCGGCGGTGTGCATGAACGTGCATGTGAGGCGTGCGTGTGTGTGTGTGGTGTACGCGTGTGTGACTGTGTTACTACATATGGTGTGTGCAAACATAGGGTAATGTGCGTGCATGTAGTACGTGTGGTTGTGTGCATGTGTTGTGTGCACACATGAGTGGTACGCATGCATCTGTGATCGTGCATGTAAAGTGTGTGAATACCTCTGTGTGGCACATGTGTGCACGTGTATGGTGGGTGCATGTGTGCTGTGTGCATGTGTGTGGCGTGTGCGTGTGTGTGGTGTTTCCCGCAAGCACAGGCCTCGGGAAATACCCAAGTCAGCTGGGGCAGCTCGTGTCCTGGACCCAGGTTCTCTTCCCAGGCCCACGGTCTCTCAGGGGCAGGGCTCTGCGTCAGAAGTCCCAGGGGGAAGCACTCGAGGGGTCCCTGGTGAAATGCATCTTGTGGGGCGGGGGGAGGTTTGGGGCCACCTGATGGTGCTCGGGGGTGACTCCTGGCTCTGTGCTCAGGGATCACTCCTGGTGGGCTCAGGGGACCCCAGGGGTGCCACAGGGATTGAATCCAGGTCAACTGCATGCAAGGCAAACGCCCTCCCCACTGTCCTATCGCTCCAGCCCCTAGCCTGCATCCTTGACCAGAGCTCCAGGGCCCTGAGGCGGGGCCCTGGGAATCCTTGTGCCCGCTGGCCCTGGGTCCCGGTCTGCCCACAGCAGTGCCCACCGTGGTGGGAAGGCACACCTGGATGCTCTCCCCCTCCCGGCACACGAGCGGGGCCTCCACGCGGCTGCAGTCAGCCCCCAGGGCCCAGCCCTGCTCTGGGCACTGCCCCGAGGCCCCAGGCTCCCGGGGTTCGGTTCTGGGCGGCAGGCGCGTGTGGTAGAGGCTGAACACCACGTCCCCTCGGAGAATGTCGAAGTCCCAGGTGATGACCGACGCCCCCTCCAGGATCTCCACGGCCACCTGCGGGGACAGGCCAGTGGGACCCCTGCTCCAGGCGCCCGTGCCCACCACCCGGACTGCCCGGAGGTCGGAGCCGGCCCAAAGGCCCTGCAGAGCAGATGCTGCTGCTGCTCACGGCCCCTCCCCGGGGGCGCGAAGCTGCCTCTCGGGCTCTGCTTGGGGAGCTCCAGCCGCACCTGGTGGGGGGCTCCGTGGAGAACGCTGGCTGCCTGGTAAGTGTCCCGCCACTGCCGCAGCTGCTCCGCGTGTCCCTGCTCCTCCTCTGTCAGGTACAGGGACTTGGGGACCAGCCCTCCTTCCGGAACATTGCACTGGGGACAGAGAATAGGCAGCAGGTGAGAGCCGAGTCTGAGCCACAGGAGGACCTCTGTGACCCCGGGACCGGCGGCCCCTTTCTGAGCTGGGCAGTGGCTACCAAGTCCCACTGACCAAACCTCCAGCACCAGTGATGCTATTGGCTTCCCCGTCCTGTGGAGGAGGCGGACGGGCCCAGACCATGTGCCTGAGGTCACACAGCAGAGAACTGCTAAGCCAGGGTAACACCCCCCACCCCACACCGCATCAGACCTTCCCCCGAGTCGGGGTCTCTTCGACATCATCCCTAGGCACCCCCCCAGCCAGGAGGGATGCGTTCCCCCAACCAAAGGCATCCTGATAAGCAGACCCTCAGGAGACCCTTCTCCCCCACACTTGAAGAATCACCCCACCCCCACCACCAGGCCTCTGGGATTCTAGAAGCTTCCATCGAGTTCTGGAAACTTCCAATATCTATGCCGGACGGGACTAAGGCTGGGGACATTGTTCTGCGAGCAGATGCCTCTCTCTGGGGAGCTTCTGGAAAAAGCCCGTCCCCCGACAGCCAGGCAGAAGGCCCCGGGAGCAAGCACCCACCGGAGAGACACCCCTGCCACTGACCCTCCGCCCAGCCCACCGCCGTCTCTCACCACACACTCGCCGCCCAGGAAGTCGGGAATCACGTCCTTGTCCAGGTAGTCCACAAGGCCGCCCGGGCCCTGGTAGTTGGTGCCGCTGTAGATGAGGAACTTGCGCCTGGTGTTCTCATGGATGAAGGGGCTGACCTGAGAGCGGGCAGGGGGCATCGCTCACCACACGCCCGCAGCCACACGGCCCGGCTTTGCTTGGCGGCTTGGGGGCCGCGTGGGCAAGGGCCGCTCCTGGCAGCGCTCGGGAGACTGTGCCCTGGGCCAGCACCTGCTCCCCAGCCGGAGGAGGAAGGAAGAGGCTGGAGCAGGGGCCGGCACCCGCCTGGCACGGGGCACCACCCGGATCCCCTCCCGGCACCGCATCCGCCCCGGAGCCCCTAGACAGACCTGCCAGGAGTGAGCCCTGGACACATCGCAGCCAGGCTCAGCCCCAGCACCGCCAGGCGTGCCCCCCGCCCCCAGGGTGCCGCCGCCGCTCACCAGCGCCCAGAGCACGGGGAAGACGCGCGGCGCACGCACGATGAGCAGCCGACCCAGCGTCTCGGGGTAGTTGCCCTCCACTACCTCGATCATACGCAGCAGCGCCTTCACCCCCGGCCGCCACAGGTGTCGCATGTTCAGCCCCTCCAGGTCCACCAGGCACGTCCAGGAGCTGCAGCGGAGACGCCCGGGCTCGCTGGCACCCAGCCCAGCCGCTGGCACAGGCCGCGGCGCGCAAGGACGAAGTTTGGGGGCGCCGGGAAGGGGCGCGTGGGGACGGGGGTCCCCGCCAGGAGGGAGGCCTCGGGCAGCCACCGCGGGGCAGGTCTCGGGAGACAAGTGAGGGGCTCGCATGGGGGGAGCTCTGACCTAGCGCCCCGTCCTCACCGGGACCATAAAGACAGGCCGGGCTGCCCCGAGGCCGGACCCGGAGAGCCCGAACCCCCCCACCCCGGGACTGGGAGCCCCTCCCCCCAGCTCCTACCTGATGGGCCGGCCAAGCTGCCTGCTGTTCCCCTCACAGCGTTTCTGGCCTTCCTCGCTGACGGACAGTACCTGGGGCAAGGAAAAGGTACGGGCACCTTCCCCTCCCAGCCTGCGGGCGCACCCCAGGGCTCTGGGAAACGGGGACCCCCGCCCCCCACTACTCACGTGCTGCAACAGGACGTCCTCCCCCACCGCCTTCATCAGGCCCTTGGTGTCCATGTGGCCCAGACGCAGGATGTAGAGGGGGCGGCCATCTGGGGGTGCAGACAACGGGGGGAGGGGGGATGCTCAGGGGGGCTGGACCAAGTTGGCCCCTGGCGGTCCTCCTCCCAGTTCCTCCTCCGGAAGGGGCCCTAGAGGGGTCAGCAGGGCCCCAGCCACCCCTGGGGTCACTAACACCTGCCTGCTCCCAGCCGGGAGGGGATCAGGCCCACTGCACCCGGGTTGGGCAGGACAGATGTGCTAAGGCTTCAAATCTGTGGGTCCAGACACGTGGCTCCAAGCCGAAGTCCATGTGTTGCAGGTGGGAGACCCGCGTTCGTCCCTGGCAGCATCCGGGGACAGCCCCACCCAGGACTGCCAGGTCCACAATCAGCTGGGGACTCCCCTACTGAGAACCACAGAGTTCAGCTCCTGTGTTTGTTTTTTTTTTTAAGGGGGAGACTGGGGATGTGGTTTAGCAGCTAAGCGCCTTGTCTGCCTGAGCTTGGGTTCAATCCCCAGCACTTGAAAAGATTGAGAAAAAACGTTTGGCTTGGGGAGTAGCGGGGGAGGGTTGAGCCACACTCGACATTGCTCAGGGCTAACTCCCGGCTCTGCACTCAGGGATCACTCCCGGAGGTGCTCGGGGGACCCTTTGGGGATGCCAGGAACTGAACTTGGGTCAGACGCATGAAGGGCAAACGCCCTTCCCGCTGGCCTATCGCTCCGGCCCCAAAACTTTTAGCTTCCTCTCAGCCCAAGCCAAAAGGCAACAGGCTGTGGACTGGCTAGCACAAGGGGTGGAGGCTGCCTTGCCCCTACCCAGCCCAGGCTCAAAGCCCTGAGCCCCACCAGGAGTGACCCTGAGCACAGAGCCAGGAGCAAGACCTGAGCACTGCCGGAGGGGGCCCAAAACCAAACCAAACAAGGTGGGATGCAGCAGATGGGAAGAGACGCCGGGAGAGGCAGGACCCCCACCCCAACTCCCGCGGGGGCCCGTGTCAGCTCTGCCCGCAGGGGCCCACCTGTGTCCTGGTAGTGCCAGCCTCCCGCGTAGAACTCCTGCAGCAGGGCGGGGGGCCGCCAGCTCTGCAGCAGCAGGTCCACCCGGTGCAGCTCCCGCCAGCTCAGGCTGCGGCTCAGCATGTCACGGGCCTTGTCCACGTGGAAGTCGCGGGCACGCAGGAAGCGCAAGATGTGCTCGTCCTTGGGGATCTGGGTGGGGAGCAGCGCGCCAGAGAATCACGTGCCATGCCCGGCGGCCAAGGGGGGACACGCGACTGCACCAGGGGCCATGCAGTACCCAGCGACCACGCCGAGGGCCGTGCAGTATCCAGCAACCACACTGGGGATTGTGCAGTGCCCAGCAACCACGCCGAGGGCTGTGCAGTGCCCAGTGACCATGCCAGGGGCTGTGCAGTGTCCAGCCCGCGTCCTCACACATGCAGGTGTTCAGCAGGGCTCAGAGCCAGCTCCCTGCCCGCTACTGATGGATTTTCGCGCCAACCCCGCCTCCTGTTTCCTGCTGCCCGCAGGGGACCAGCAGCCCCCCCCCCCGCCCTCCCCAGGGCCCAAGGATGGGCAGCTGACTTGTACCCCAGCCCCGGGGCCCCTGGCACCCACCTTGCCCCTGTGGGTCTCCTGCAGCCAGAGCCGAAGCTGGATGAGGCAGCTCTCCTGCAGGGGTGTGAGTGGACCCAGACACCTCGCGATGTACTCAGCGTCCAGCTTGCCTGGGGGAGGGGAGCGAGAGGGCTCAGGACAAGGGGTGACGTCCAGGGACATCTGAGCACTCAGCCCCCTCCCGTGCTTCTCTGCCAACTGCTCCTGCCACCCCCACGGTTCCTGCCCTTGAATTCCCAAGAATAAAGATAGTCCCAACCTCAGAGAATCTCGAACCCGGGACAGGACCAGGGCAGGGGCAGGGAGCACCATGGGGGCAGCCTCTACAGTGTCTTTCAGAAAGAAAGTCGAGGCTGAGAGAAGTCAGGGAACGGGGCCGGGTGTCCCAGAGCCTGTGGGCCCTGTGGGCAGAGTCCCAAATGCAAAGCGCGGCCAGGAAGCTCAGTGGCTCTGCCGTGTGCCCAGCTGCGGCCTTGTGCGGCCTTGTGCCCACCTTCCTGCGTCGCTCCCAGGCAGTAATTTCCCGCCCCCCGCGCCCCCCCTCCGCCACGATCACATGTTACTCACATGATCAAAAATAGTAATGAAGGCAGAGAAAGGGGGTGGGGGGGCGGGAGTGGGAGGGGATTTCAGTTGCGGTCCGGAAGGAACCAGCTCTGGTCCCCAGGCCCAAGGGACGGAGGAGGGCGCAGTGGGAGCGGCAGGCGTCTACCCCAAGACCTACCGTCTGCGCCCACTGTCCTGGGAACAAGGTCCGGGGGGCTGCCGGGCCCGGTGGCCTCCAGGGGGGCGGCGTCCCTGGATGCAGCCTGGGCACGGGGGTCCTCCTCCCGGACCGGGGCGGGTGTCCACCGGGGGATGTGCGAGGTGCCCTGGGAGACAAGCTCATTCAGGTAATACTCGATCACCTCCTTCCCCTGAGAAGAGAACAGGCAGGGCCTGGCAGTCACGGCCTGGGAGTCCCCCTGCCCGCCCCCAGCCCTGCTGAGTCCCTGAGCCATCCCTGTCTGAATGGAGAGGCGTGTGAGGTGGAATTCTCACAGGGCCAGGGAGGTGGCCCAGGAGGCAAAACAAGGCCCAGTCTGATCTCAGCACTGCAGGGTCCCCAAGCACTGCCACAAACACCCCTGCTGGTCCCCAAGCACTGCCAAGTGTGGTCCCCATAATGTGTCCTGAGGGGCAAGAAGTTGCTTGTGGCCAACCCAGGTTCAATCCCTGGCAACCCACGTGGTCCCCCGAACCCATCAAGAGTGATCTCTGAGCACAGAGCCAGGAGTAAGCCTGAGCACTGCTGGGTGTGGCCCCAAAACAAAGCCAAAAAAAAGTCATGAGGCCATGGCAGTGGCTCTGTGGTAAAGCACGTGCCTTCCACATATTCAGCCTGGGAGGATTCCAGTGTCACACATAGACACACAGAGACACAGACGTGCAAAAATGCACACAGACACATACATATACACACATGCACACAGACACACAGACATGCACACATACAGAGACACACAGACATGCACACAGGCATACAGACATACACACAGAGAGAGATATACACATGCACACAGTCACACACAGACACACAGAGGCATACACATACACACAAAGACATGCACAATCCCAAGGAAGAGTTCCCAGACATCACCAAGTAAAAAACATAAAATAGCCACGAGTAAGTTTTATACTTCAGACATAAAGTTTCAATTCATTAGATAAAAAATGTTGCTTCATGAGGCCAGAGACATATGACCACATGGTGAGGGCATTTGCCTTGCATGCAGCTGACCCGGGTTCAATCCCCAGCATCCCAGGGGGTCCCCAAACCCACCAGGAGCAATCCCTGAGCACAGAGCCAGGAGCAATCCCTGACCGTTGCTGGGTGTGATCCCTCCAAAAAACCGTATAAATAAAAAAGTATCACTTCTTGCCTGCTGGCTTGCCAGGAGTGACAGCTGAACGCAGAGCCAGCAGGAAGCCCAGAGCACTGCTGGGGTGACTCCAAACCTCCCCCTAGTCCCCCCCTCATGCCAAAGGAATGTGGGAGATCTTCTGAGCCGGCAGCGGCCACGGTCACCACCTGTGCCCCTCTGTCCCCAGAGTCACCAGCAGGATCTGGACCGAGAAGCTGGTGGACGAGGACGAGTCTGTGGTGTCCCATTCCCAGCGCAGGGACAGGACTGGCCATTCCCCTCCCTGGGGGCCAGGACCCCAAGTGACGCTCTGGGATGGCGGGGCCCCTCACCCGCTTGATGTTGGCCGTGTACTGCTTCATGGCGATCTTCTCCAGGGCACTTTCGAAGCCGAAGAAAGAGCGGATGTCCAGCGAGGCCGACTGCTCGAAAGATGTCCAGTCCTGGTTCTCGGGGTGCACCTGAAAGCCAGGAGGAGCTGGCGGCACAGCCGCAGGGCCATCCCCGCGACGGCACCGCCCGGACAGCCTCCAGCCCTCTCACCCGCGCCCCAGCGGCTCATGACCTGGGCACCCGCGCCCACTGCCCCCCACATGCTCCCTCCACGGCCAGGACAAGGGTGGGCGAGTCTCCATCATCTGGGGAGCCGGGGCCGAGCAGGGCCTCACCCAGGTCAGGTCCGCGCTCCTCACGCAGAGAGGCAAGAGGAGGCTGGAGGGCACGATGCCCAAGCAGGCCGGGAGCGGGATGCCCGGGAGCGGGTGCAGCGGCCGCTGTCCCTGGGTCGCTCTCCCTGCCGCACACACCCACACCCCGGGCGGGCGCTCACCCGGTAGCTGCAGTGCTCCTGGACCACCACGCGGCTGGCGAAGGTCTCGTTGTGCGCCTCGATGAGCAGCGTGCGTTCTCGCCAGTTCAGCACGTTCCGCTGCACGAACACCACGTGCTCCACGCCCGCGATCTGGGCCAGGGACGGGGTTGCTGCGGGTCGTGCGGGGCGGGGGCGCGCATCCCGCCCGGGCCGAGCCCCACAGGCTTCCCCCGCGGGACCCCCCTCCGGCCCCGCCCGGGTGCCCACCTTGCGCAGCAGCCGCGGGGCCTCCACGCGCAGCCGGCAGCTGCGTTCCACCACGTGCACCGCCCCGTCGGCGCTCCGGGACTCGCTCAGCACCTCGCTGCCCAGGAAGACCGGGATCTGCGGGCAGGTGGGGAAGCGCTTCTCGTAGGCCTGGGGGCAGAGCGAGGGGTGAGCGGCCGGGCACGGGGAGCGGAGCCCCCCCAGCAAGGCCTCGCCCGCCCGCTGCAGCTCCCCAGCTCTGCAAGGAGAGCATCCCCAGATCCCAAGCACCAGGAGGACGGGGGTGCCCTGCCTGGGGCCGGGGCATCATTTGCTTTTGAAATTGTTTTGGGCCACACTCCTGGGTGCTCGGGGCTTAACTCCGGGGTTTCGTGCTCAGGGATCACTCCTGCTGGGGCCTGCGGGGTCATAAGAAGTGTTGGATGTGGGCAAAACCTGTGCCCTCACCTCTGTACTGTTTCCAGACCCCCGGTTGATTATGTTATTCGTTTTAGTTTGGGATCATCTGGTTGGTTGATTGGCCATTGCTCCTGGCACAGTGCTCATAGTTCACTCTGCGTGCATGAACATACCAGCCCTTGAGTTATCTCCCAGCCCTGGGCATCATTCTATTTTATTTTTATTTATTTTGGTTTTGGGGCCACTCCTGACTGTACTCAGGGCTTACTCCTGGCGGGCCTCAGGGGACCATATGTGGTGCAGGGGATCGAACCCAGGTCAGCTATGTGCATAGCAAGCACCTCACCCACTGTTCCATCTCTCCAGCCCCTGGGGTGCATCTTTTTCGTTGTTGCTTATTTGTTTGGGGGCCACATCCAGTGATGCTCAGGTGTTACTCCTGGCAGTGCTTGGGGGGCCCTAAGGGGTGCCAGGGATCGAACCCTTGAACCCAGGTTGGTTGCATTCAAGGCAGATGCCCTCCCCGTTGCACGATCTCTCCAACCCCAACGGGTGCGCGGTTTTGAAGGGTGTCTGGGAGAAGCTCGGGGGAGCGATGCTCTGGTTCCACTCCCAGCACAGCAAGATCTTCCAGGCCCCATCGGAGTGACCCGAGCACCAGGCCAGGAGTAAGCGCCATGAGGCATGGACCCGAAAGAAAAAAAGAAAATGTAAAGAAGGGCTCTTTCGAGGCTGGAGCAATAGCACAGCAAGTAGGGTGTTTGCCTTGCACGCGGCCGACCCGGGTTCAATTCCCAGCATCCCATATGGTCCCCTGAGCACCACCAGGGGTAATTAATTCCTGAGTGCAGAGCCAGGAGTAACCCCTGCGCATCGCTGGGTGTGACCCCAAAAAGCCAAAAAAAAAAGAAGAAGAAGGGGTCTTTCATGGGGTGAAACTAACAACATCTAACACTGTTTGTGATTTAGAAAATAAAGGGGAGGGGCTGGAGCGATAGCACAGCGGGTAGGGCGTTTGCCTTGCACGCGGCCGACCCGGGTTCGATTCCCAGCATCCCGTATGATCCCCTGAGCACCGCCAGGAGTAACTCCTGAGTGGAGAGCCAGGAGGAACCCCTGTGCATCGCCAGGTGTGACCCAAAAAGCAAAATAAATAAATAAATAAAGGGGAACAGGAGGAATACGAGAGTCCGTCGCCCGGATGGAACCCACAGAGGCCGGTGATCCACAGAGGCCCGAGATCCTCGTCTCAGGGGGCAAGTGAGGGGCCGACAGCCAGGGTGCCCTGCGCCCACTTCCAGCCAGTGTGGAAACTGCATCTCCGCCTGGGCACCAGCAAGAAGGAGGCGGAGGCAGGCACAGTGGGCGGCCCTGACCCCTGAGAGTTGGAGTCAGAGGGGGCATGACGCTGTCCAGCCTGGTGTCACCACCCAGGTGGCTCAGAATCGGAATCAGCCTGAGTCCGGAAATAGCACTGGCACCCAAGGACACAGCCTCCTCCTGCCTTCCCCGAGCCAAGAGGGGGCACCCGGGAGAGACCCTCGAGGCAGAGCTTGGGGCTCTCTGCAGAGAAGCCCACGGAGCTGTTTCTGTCCCTGCCTGAGGCTCTTGGCCGCCATCGTCCCCCAATGCCTGAGTGTCCCCCTGCTGAACAAGCACACGCTTCAGCCCTCACAGCCCTCTGGCCAGTCCAGGCAAGGATGTCAAGGCTGCCCACTCCGAGGGGAGCTGGCCAGAGCCCAGAGCTGCCAGAGCAGCTAACCAGGGCCAGGCAAGGGCCTCCAGGAACTTCTACGCGTCTCCGCTGACTTAGCGCGATTCTCTGCTGAGTCACCCTGAGCCAGCCCCTCTCTGACAAGGGGGTTCCGGGGCCTTGCTGGGGGCTCCTGGGATGCCCAACTCCCCCTGAGACCCCCACGTGTTGGAGTCTGAGAGTGCCTGGACTCCCACCCTGTCCGCCCCAAGCCCCATGCCCAGTGCCCAGCACAGAGTGGGCACTTAGGACAATCCCGGGCGGGGACCCGGGGGAGGGGGGCGGCAGTGGACAGCAGGCAGAGGGGCAAACACAGCCTGTGCTTGCCAGGAGCCCCACACAGTGGCCAGCAGCGGCCCGCTGTGGATAGTGTGGCTGGCAGTGGCTGGCAGTGACCATGCCCGTCCAGGACCGCACTTCCAGGGAGCCCAGAGGAGCTATTTCTGCAGCGGATGTGGCAGCTGTTCTGCCCTCCCTCATGCAACTGTTCTGGAGCAGGGGCTGTCCCAAGAGTCCAGCTGGCACCTCACCTTCCAGGGCACATAACCATCCTCTCAGCGGCTGCTCCCCCACAGGAAACAGAGAGATCCCCTGGCAGTGCTCAAAGGCAGCTCCTGGCTCTGTGCTCAGGAGCACCCCCTGGTGGTGTTTGTGGGGGGACCCTCTGTGGTCTGTCTCCAGCCTGGCTTTCAGAACAGTTTCTGTTCCATGGAGACACGATTCTCAGGCCGCAAAATTCACCCCTTTACAGTGATTCCATGGAGCGGAACATTCCACCTCCTCCAAGCTGGTCTGTGCGCCCACAGCAGCTACCCTCGTTCACCTTCTCTTTCTCTTCAGGGTTCAGGACCTCCCTTGCTTTCTTCTGGGCTGTGGTACAGGGCAGTGTTCAGGGCTGAGTAATATTCCTTGCTGTGGAGCCCCCGATGCTGTGTCGATGTAGCCCAGCTGCAGCTGACTGGAGCACCCTTGGCAGCACCCAGCTCAAGAGGGACGTGGGCAGGGGAGGAGTGGGCAACAGACACCCCTCCAGAAGCCTTTGGGAGTGGCCCTGCCCAGTGATAAAATCAGGGACACCCAGATGGCTCCATCGTGGACATGGCCATGAGTCTGGGGACACAGAACCCAGGCACAGTGGGAGAGCGAGGCTGGGCAGGGACTCAGACCCTCGGGCAGAGCCTCCACGGCCCCCCTTCATGCCCCTGGTGTTTGTTGCAGGTGCTCTGTGGGATACCCAGGGGTCTTCACTCCCATGGGGGCCGTGCAGAACTCGGATGCTCTGAGGGTCATGTGGGCTGCATGGAACTCAGGCCCACGGCTTCCTGCGACACAGGGCTACCCCCATGGACCCCCATAGATGGGAGGGGCTTTGATGGGAGGGGCTGCTCCCTGCTCTGTGCTCCAGGGTTCCTCCCCACAGTGCTTAGGAACCATGAGGTGCTGTGGTTGAACCCGGGGATCCCACGTGCCACCCCACACGCAGCATGGTCACCAGTGGTGCTCAGGGCTTCCTCCTGGCGCTCTGCTCAGGTGCAGCCCTGGCAGAGCTCAGGGGAACCATGCAAGGCAAGCGTCCTGCCGCCAGGCCATCGCTCAGCCCCTGAAAAGGTCCATTTTGTTCTATTCATCCTTTGGCCCATCTTGTGGGCGGCCGAACCCACAGGAAGTAGGAGCAGGTGAGGACAGAGCGGGGCTGTCTCTAGGCCTCTCTCTACCTGGCCCACCCCTGGGCACCGGGGACAGCAGGAGAGGAGGGCCCAGGGCCCAGCGCACAGCCCGCCCCCCAGAGAGGCTGCTGTCTACACCGCAGGACCCACACTGCAAGAGAGCGAGAAGAAGGTGCTAATCTCTCGATGACTCAGCTCCAGCTTCCTCTGCTCCGGTGTGCTGACTCAGCCCACACGCGCGCCCTCTTGTCTTTTTACATTTATTCTGGGCGGGAGGGAGAGTTTGGGGCCACATGTGGTGGGTGCTGGGGGATTACTCCTGGCTCTGGGCTCAGGAACCCACACGTGGTTTCTGAAACCGAACTGGGGTCCAGCTGCATGCAAAATAAGTGCCTTCCTTCTGCCGGCACTTTCTACAGGCTCACAGGCATACACATGCAGGCACACAAGATGCACACGTGTGTATGTGTATACATATACACTTATGTGTGCACACACACATACTCGTTAACTGCAGGAAGGCAGGAGCTACTCTGGATGCAGGTCCAGAGACCAAGAGTCCAGTCTCAGAAGAATCCGCCCCTCTCTAAGCTACTTCCTAATTGCGCGGTGCTGGGGTCCCCAGGTCCCCCATATGCAAGGCCCACCCAAAGGCTTGACCCCTCCCCCGGGCTTCCAGTTTTCATGAAAAAGATCCGTCTGAGCAAGAAAGCGGGCAAATTGCATGGGTGTTGGGGACCCACCGGGAGGTGCCCAGGGATCACTCCGGGGATTCTCGGGGGACCTGAGGCAGTGCCAGGGATCAAGCAGATCAGCAGCTTGCAAGCTAAGTGCCTCCCCCGCGGGCCCCTCTGCAGCCGGAAGGGAAGTGGGGAGAGCATGAGGCGCGCTTCTGTGCTGTGCTGTTCCATGCGCTCCTGGGGGCAGCACGCCCGCCTGGCTGGGAGCTCGCACCCACAGTGCCCGCCGCCCGGGGCTCGCGGTTACTCCGCCTTCACCCCTGCAAGAGCCCTACCCTGCCACAGCGAACACCCCTGGGCACGCAGGCGGGTGTGGAGTGAGTCGTGGGGGCCAGAGTGCAGCCCCCCCTCCCTCTCCCCGTCCAAATCAGAACCCAGCAGGGTGCGGGGCTCTGTAAGCCAGCCAGGATAGAGCGCGTTGCTCCCCTTAATCTGTTGGCAACGGGATCAGATGACGGGCTCCGGGGAACTAATTTAAACTCATTTTAAATGAGGCCCCTGCTGCTTTATTAACATTTGCTGCTAACAACACTGGCTGGCGGGAGGGGCCTGGCCGGGTCTGGAAGGTGCCTGCAGAGGGTGCCCAGAAAGCTCGTGACCCCCACAAGAGGCAGGTTCTTAAATATTTCACTCCTTAATTGCTGAGGCAGCCCCCGCCTCCACACCCCGGGGAAGGCTGAGGAAATTCTAGCCCTGCAGAGGTGCAGAATCTGATCTCCCCAAGGCTGCTGGCCCCACCGGGCCCCGGGCAATGACGGGAGGTCATTGGTGAATCCTCCGCGGATGCCAAGGGGACACAGATGCTCCCAGAGCAGCAGAACTAGGATCCCACATGTATGACTGTGAACGCAGACGCAGACGCCCAACTCTAGGACCTTGAATCTCTGCAACGAGGCTAGAGAGCCCGGGTGTAAGGCGCTGGCCTTGCACTCTGCCCAGCCCTGTCTGAATATCAGTGCTCCCTGAGTACCTCCAGGTGTGGCCCCAAGCTCCCCAAAATAAATGCATGAAGGCCGCCTTGCACCCCGAGGAGGGTTGTGTGGGGCCCAAAGCCCTGGGCCATCTTTTAGACCTAACGGAGCTCAGACAAGGTCACACCGGGTCTGGGGTTCCAAGCCCCTGGTGTGGGGATCGGCTGGCATTTCCATCCCCCCTCCCAAAGGCTGGGCTCTGAGGGGTCCTGAGTCCTGATAGTAACGGCCCAGCGGCACCCAGTGATCTCAGACCTGTCTCTGAGGAGTGATGAGGTGTGTCCTGCCTACAGCAATGCCCTCACGCCTCGGTCGCCCCCTCGGCCGCCCCAGTGAAGCAAGGCTCTGCCCCCAGAACCTGCCTCGTGGGGTGAGGGGCTAAGAGAGGGACTTGGGTAGGACTGTGGGGAAAGTGCTATGCCGATGGACAGGGCTTCAACCCCCCCCACCCCAGCATCCCACAGGATCCCCTGAACCCCCACCAGGGCTGATCTTTGAGCCCAGAGCCAGGAGTCAACCTTCAGCATGCTGGGCACGACCCCAAACAAACAACGATGCTGACAGCAACATCAGCGATTAACTGAAGTAACACCCATGGCATTAGCGACGCCCGGGCTGTCTTGGTACCGACTTCCCGTCAGTGCTCACTTGGGTTTTTGAAAAAGAAGGGCCCTGACCGGCCTCCACAGCAGGGGAGCCCGGAGAATATCTTGCACAGGTGAAGCCCATCCCCCAGGCTGGTCACACTCTTGGGGAGGAAGGGGCTTAGGGCCACAGGGTTACTCCTGACTCTGTGCTCAGGGATCACTCCTGACAGTGCACAGTGGACCATGGGATGCCGGGGACTGAACCCAGGTTGGCCATATGCAAGGCAAATGTCCTCCTTGCTGTACTACCTCTCAGGCCCCTGGTCACTCGTTTTTTTTTTAAATTTATTTTTTTAGCTCTCATTTATTTTTTTTAATTGATTAATTTATTTTTATTTATTGAATCACTGTGGGAAAGGTTACAAAGCTTTCAGGTTTACACTTTCATTTATTTATTTTTTTGCTTTTTGGGTCACACCCGGCGATGCACAGGGGTTATTCCTGGCTCATGCACTCAGGAATTACTCCTGGCGGTGCTCAGGAGACCATATGGGATGCTGGGAATCGAACCCAGGTCGGTTACGTGCAAGGCAAACGCCCTACCCGCTGTGCTATCGCTCCAGCCCCACAAAGCTTTCAGGTTTAAGTCTCGGTCAGGCAATCATCTAACACATTTCGCTTCACCAGTACTCATTTTTCACCACCAAGAACCCCAATAAACCCCCCCTCCCAACCCTCCCAATGCCTGTGAGGGAGATGAATTCTAGTTAACACTCTATCTACTTTGATTAGATTCTTTGTTTCGATAAAAGATGACTCTTTTTTTTTTTTTAAGAAAGACGGAGAAGATGACTGCAAAGATGACACTGAGTTAATTAACCCACAGTCAGGAATGGGCCACTGGTGGTGCCCGCCAGGATCCACATGTTGTGCAGATCTAGGACGGTTCTCACCCACCAGTCCCACCGAGCTCAATCAGCATGGTGCAGTTTAAAGAAATGAGAACTAACTCGACCTCAGCTCAGTTTCGTTAAAGAGGAAAACAGAAGACAGAGTTCAGTGCAGTGGGATGGCAGCAGAGCGCCCAGCCCAAGGGCACTGGCCCTGCACGAAGCCCAGCCACCCTAGGTCCGATCCCGGCATCCCATATGGTCCCCCAAGCACCGCCACAGAGCACCATCCCTGAGCACAGAGCCAGGGAGAAGCCCTAAGCACAGCAGGTATGACCCAAACAAACAAATAAATAAGAGAAACCCAGAGAGGTGAGCTCATCTGCACTGGGAGGGTGGGAAGGGTCACACCTCACCCCTGCTGAGGGCCAGTGCCCAGCTGGGAACAAAGCCGGACACAAGCGCAGAAAATCGCCTTTGTGCCCACACAGAGCGCAAGTCATGTCGAGCTCTGCAGCTATCTGGGGACAATGGTGTTTTGTAAACAGTCAGCAAAGTGGCTTTGTCGCTGCGGTTTGGGGCGGCCAGGCCTGGAGGAAGATAAAGCCAGAGAGAGGCTTGGCTGTGTCTGGACTCCCGCTGCCTGCACCCTCCAGCACCCCGAGAGTGCAGAGCCCCCTTCTCGGGCCGCTCACAGCTGGCCGCAGCTTCCCCGGCACCTCTCCGGGCTCCTTCCACCAGCGTGTTCCAAGGAGTAGCGAGGGCAAACGTTTTTTGGAAATCCGAACAAGCTAAGTCAAGCTTCCCCAAAGCCCAGGTAGATATTAGCATATTCTTAACTGCCGACCAACTGACTGGGACTGGTCTCCGCTTTCGTGGCAGAGAAGAGTGGGCACCTACAGCGTCCCAGGGGAATGGACAGTGCCTCTCCTCTACGGAGCGAGAGAATGAATGAATGAATGAATGAAGCCCAGGGCCTGAGATATGTGAGCTGCCTGGAGCCTCAGGTAAAATCATTCATCATTAGCTCCCACTTATTATCAACCCGGCCCTATCCAACTCCTGGTTAGCACCTGCAACCATCGCCTTTGACCCTATAAGCACCAATGGCCTTAGAAGGTTCTAGAAGCATCCCTGATCTACATATGAAGGACGTGCATTGAGGACTCAGCAATGCTTCAAGTCACAGTCCTGGGCCTGGGCCTAGTCCTACTTCCCCGGGTTCAATCCCTGGCACCCCAGAGGGTCTCTCAAGTGGCACCAGGAGTGATCCCTGAGCACTGTCAGGTGTGGTCCCAAAACAAAAACTAAATAGATAAGTAAAAATAAAGACATAGCAGATAGATTCTTACAGTAAGACTGTCCAGGACACACACAGGCAACACACACCAGTCACACACACACACATACACACACGCACACGCACGGGCACGCACAGGCATGCAGACACACACACACATGTGTGCTGTCACTGTCACTGTCACTATCCTCCCGCTGTTCATCGATTTGCTCGAGCGGGCCCAGTAACGTCTCCATTGTGACAATTGTTACTGTGTTTGGCATATCGAATACGTCACGGGGAGCTTGCCAGGCTTTGCCGTGCAGGCGAGATACTCTCGGTAGCTTGCCGGGCTCTCCGAGAGGGGTGGAGGAATCGAACTCGGGTCAGCCATATTGGCCGCTTGCAAGGCAAACGCCCTACCCACTGTGCTATCGCTCCAGCCCACACATGTGTGCACATGTGCAAATACATGCATGCAGACACATGCGTGTGCGCGCACGCACACACACACACACACACACACGAGACATCACTGGATATCCAAGTCCTCAGGGGAAGGGGGAGCAGGCAGGAGGCTGGGGAGATTAAGGAGTCTCTCCCTGCAGGTACAAGCGGGGACAGGACCGTGTGGTGGAGTGACAGGGCCGGCTGCCTCCCACGAGTGCCTCCTGCGTGGCAGCCCCAAGGGAGAGGCCCGGGCAGAGCCCACTTCCCACCACCGCCACAAAGGGGGTGTGTCTCTAGCAGCTGCCCACCTGTGTCCAGGACCAGAGCCACCGATCCACTGAACTGGGGGCCGAGCTCAGGAGCCACACCAGGGACCTGCTGCCCCAGCCCAGCTGGCACCTGACGTGCTCGGACTCAGCCCTGAAGGACAGTGCCCACCTGTGTCCCTTGCTGCACCTGGTCTGGGTTTGTGGGAGGATGGGGAAGACGGATGGGGGCAGGACTCGGGGGTCTCCACAGGATTCGGGCCTCTTTGCTGCACCCAAAGTCAGCTCCTCAGTGGTGATGTGGGAGGCCTGAGACCCTACTCAGATGGACCCAGTAAAGACCTCGTGCGCCCTACTGTGAGCCCTCGGCCTCCACCGGCGCGATCACTGTCACCTTCATCGTCACACGAAAGGACGGCACTGGTCTGCCCCTGGAGCCTAGTTTTTTGGGGTGGGGGTGTGCGGGGACAGAGGAGGAAGAAGGGGCAGAAGTCCAGGAGGGAAAGGCAGCCCGTGTGCTGTGGGCAGGTCTAGGGCGACCACCAAGCAGAGGGTCCCTGCTTTGGAGCTCACGCCCTTGCAGGTTGCCTGGGCAGCCCAGTCCCCTCCTCCCTCTGGGGCACCTGAAGGGACCCCTCTCCTTCCCACCACACCTACTCTTACACCCGCAGCTGTCCCCCAGGCCTGAGACTCAGGCGCGCACTCACCGCCATGACCAGCTCAAAGGGGTACTTGTAGACGCGCACTGGAGACTGGTATTTCTGTACCATGGCCTCGGGGTGGGGGGTGCCTGCAGGAGCGGCAGGGGCAGGAGCGCAGAGCCTGGGGTGAAGGGCAGCCATGAGAGCCGGAACCCCACCCACCGCCCCCACCCACACTTCCTCCCCGTTTGCAAAGCCAGGGGGAGCATGTATTCCCCCAAATTCCTTGGGGCCAGGCCCCAAGCACCCGACCTGTTCCTTGCCCAGCGCCCTCCAGCCCGCACTCACCCCTCCTCGGCGAGCAGTCAGCACCCCCAAACTTTTCCCTTCACAGCCAAGGCCTCGGAAGCTCCGTGCACCCGCCCACATGCGCGCGCGCTAGCAGTTCTTGCATTTCCAGGATTCACTTCACCCACGCGCCGGCAGCGCCACGCAGACATTCTGACCCCGGGTCCCTGCAGGAATCCTGCCCCCGCCTTGCCGTTTCGCCCCAAGCCATCCTGACCCTCGCGCACACTCACCTCCCTGCGGACCACACAGCCTGGCACCTGCCCCCAGCTGCTGCACGCCATCACCTACCCAACTCCGGAGGGCGCAGAATGCCCCCCGGTGCGCACACGCGCGCACACGGGCACGCACACACGCACGCACGCAAGCACAGCCCGCTCACCCTCGCCCTCGGGGGCGGCACGGCCCCGGAGCCGCGCGGGGCTGAGCCCGCTGGGGTCCCCGCTGCACGCTGGCGTCCCGCGCTGCACCCGCCGCGGCCTTGGGTGGGGCCCGTGGGACCCGCAGCGAGACCTGCCCGCGGGAGCGCTCCAGCACCCGGGACAGCGGAGCGCCGGTCTGGCCCCGCCCCGGCCACGCCCCCGGCCACGCCCCCGCCCGGCCCCGCCCTCACTCCACAAGCCCTTCGCCTCGGCCACGCCCTCACCCGGCCCTGCCTCCCGATTGGACACACCTCGAGGGCCACGCCCCAGGGCGGCCCCGCCTCTGCGAGCACTCAGCCAACCAGACGGCCCGGCCCTGGAAAGGCCCTGCCCCGAGACTCCGCCCCCGGCGTGACGCAGGCCTCCCGCCGCGGGCCCCGCCCGTGCACCATTCATTCACCCTGCGCGCGTCCACCGGGAGCCCACCACGGTCACCGAGCGTCACTGCTTACTAAGGAGGAAACGGGCATCTTTCCTTCGTGGAGGGGGGTATTGCGGTGGAGGGGACAGGCGGTGGATAAGGCCAGCTTCGAAGACCCCGAGGGAGAGAAAGCAGCCGCAGGGCCAAGGCAGGAAGGCGGCGGGCACGTGTGCGGCCCGGCTAGAGGGTGGCATCTGCCCACCTCATTTGAGCTCACACCTCAAACGCTTCCAGCCCTCCCAGGAGGACCACGGGACCCCATGTCCGCTCCGGCTCCCCCTCTGTGGTCTGCAAGCGTCCGGGATGCGTCTCTGAGAAGTCCTGCCAACCTTGTGTTCCTTAATTGGGGTGCACTGAGCACAGGGGACCCCGACGCAGTTCCCTGCGCCCTGCCGTGCTGAGGGCGTGGAGTGTGTGGGAACATCGGGCTAAGTGCATCTGAGCAGTCGGGCTGCCCGAGTCACTCTGATTCACTCGGATCTTATCTTCTTGTGGGTCATCTTATCTGTCTCGTCGGGGATACGTGTGTGCTCTGCCCAGACACGGATTTCTCTGTCCACAGGGTCCCCTGGGGCACGTAGGACACAGGAGCAGGTGCCTGCGGGGTGGGGTGGGGCTGTTTCTCGGGAAAGGTCGCCGAGGATGCAAACCCAGCAGGAGACCCGCGTGGTCACGAGGGGGCAGCAAAGAACAGCCCATGGGCCCAAGTCTGCCCAGCTGCTCGCTGTCCAGGGACCTTCGCGGTCACCCCAAGAAAGCCTGAAGGAAGCTCCCGGGCTCCTCGGAGACGAACGTGCATGGCTAAGGCTGAGCAGAAGTCCGGTCCTATGTTGTCGAAGCACAAAATTTGGGCTGGCACAAACGTCAGAGGCAGATGCCCCCCCTGGGAGACGGTGGCGGTGGGGCTTGTCCGAGCCCCTGGGGGTCCCCGCACTGCCTCAGGAGGTGGGTGCTGAAAGGCAGATTCCCAGGCGGGGCTCGGGAGCACCGGGAGTTCCTTTCACCAGCTCCCCAGCTGGTCCAAGTAAAGAGCCGCACCCCCACCCATCCATCCCTGCAACCGTGTAGCTTGGGGGGGTCCCAGAACGCCCCCTGCATCTGCTCTGTGGAGGCGCCTCCAGATTCACCCCGCCCACCCTGGCAGTAGCTTCCTGGCCACCCCACCCCTGCATGTGTCTCATGTGCCACAAAAGGTGGCAGCTTGGGGTAGAAGGAACAGGCGTGGGAGAGGGAGAGGAAAGGGCCGGAAGAGCTGAAAGGAGCAGAGGCACCTCCCCGCCCCTCCCCCACCTCTGCTCTGGGGGAGCTGCCAGCCGCCTCCCCGCCTGTCCCCCACTAAGGTCGGACTCCGGGTGGGGGGCAGAGAGCTCCGAGGGGAGAGGGGCGTGACTCCCACCCTCAGGAGCCCCCGGGGAGCGTAATAACACCACCTACCGCCTGTCCCGCCCTAATTCTTCCTCCCAGTACCCAGCGCTCTGGTACTTGCTGTACCAGGCGCCCTCCTGAGGCCTAACAGACATTCATGGCATTTAATTCTCAGAAGCAGCCTCCGCGCCCCACCCCCTACACACACACACACACACACACACACACACACACACACACACACGCAGAGAATGTCCGGACATTCCAGGGAGAAGGGGGTGTCAACCCCACACTGTGGTTCAAATACAGCCACACAGTTCCCAGACATTACACGGCTTCCCCCCGACTGAAAACCAAAACCAGAAACTATCTCTCAAGGTCAAATTTTTTTTTCTGTTCTGTTTTGGGGCCACACCCAGCTAGACTTGGGGCTTGCTCCGGGGCTTGTGCTTTTTGTTCAAGGTCCACACCCCGGCAGGACGCAAGCCCGATTCTTGGCCTGAGCTCAGGGATCACTCCTGGCAGTGCTCAGGGTACCAGCTGGGGTGTGGGATTCCAAGTCAGGAGGACTGCATGCAGGGTAAGCACCCTCCCCTCCGCACAATCTCTCTGGCCTGAGGCCAAAGTATTTGATTCCTTGTTTTACTTGTTTTAAGAGGGGGGGCTCCCAAACAGGGCCCAGGAGGCCCTGGAACACCACTGGCAATTCTCAGCTGACAGTGTAGAACCGAGGGTGTCCCAGACGGTCCTGCGGGGGCCCCCCTCAGAGACCCGGGAGGAGGGGGGCCTTTGGGCATGCAGCATGGGTCTGCCCCCAGGACGCAGGAGGTTCCTTAGAAAAAGCAGTGGAGGGCTGGAGCGATAATACAGCGGGTAGGGCATTTGCCTTGCACACACGAACCCAGGTTCGATCCCTGCACCCCTGCATCCCATATGGCCCCTGGAGCACTTGCCAGGAGTAATTTCTGAGTGCAGAGCCAGGATAACTCCTGTGCATCGCTGGGTGTGACCCCAAAAGCAAAGAAAAAAAAAAAAGCAAAGGATGGAGAGCTAGGTCATGCCCAAGACACTTGCTCTCTGCACAGGGCCGACCTGGGTTTGACCCCAGCACCCCACAGGATCTTCCAAGACCACATTGTAGGGGTCAGGGGACCCCCCAAGCCCCCCACTGCCACGAGAGCAGGACCAGCCCCCAGGGCCACAAGTAGTGGGAAAGGATCAGGGATCCTTGGGCTGTAGGTCACCACCACGGCCCATTCAAAAGCACCGGACACGCCTCCAGGCGCGAAATAGGTGGGGCCTGAGGTGATGGCAGCCGGAAGTGAGAGGGAAGCAAGAGACAATGGCCGGATGTTTCCTCATGAGCCCCAACTGACTGACCCTGCCCAGCCCTGCACCGCTCAGTGCTGGCTCTGAGGCTGGGATGGTCAGGGGGTGGGAGAGGACAGGGGGCCTAGCGGGGAGGGGCTGGCGGGGAACTTTGGGAACCCACAGGTGTGTGCACAGGCAGACCCATTCCCCAAACTTCCCTGGTGGTGGGAGCCAATGATGAACCCTAAAGTTGGAGTGGTGGGGGGCATGTCGGGCCGTGGGGCTCAGGCTCGACCCTGCCCGGGTTCCCCAGCTTCCAGAGACCCCTCCTGGCTTCTCTGAGCCCGATTTCCAGGCTCTCTACACTCCATTCTCCCTCATTTCCTTCTTTTCTAAGATATATATATATTTTTTTTTCTTTTTGGGTCACTCCTGGCGATGCACAGGGGTTACTCCTGGCTCTGCACTCAGGAGTTACTCCTGGCGGTGCTCAGGGGATCATATGGGATGCTGGGAATCGAACCCGGGTCGGCCGTGTGCAAGGCAAACGCCCTACCCGCTGTGCTATCGCTCCAGCCCCACTAAGATATTATTTGAGGTCTGCCGAGCAATGTTCAGGAGACCACAGCTCCTCCCAGTGGGCCTCGTTCCACCCAGGGATGTGGGGTTGCCCAGAGCTGGCCCCAGTATCACGGACCCCTGGGTCAGTCTGTGGTGGCCAGGAGTGCGGTGCTGGGGTCAGACCCGGCTCAGCCACGTGCAGTGTGAGAGCCTCAGCCCCTGCCCTATCCCTCTGTCCCCCTTCCTTTCAGGGGGACACTGACCGAAATCCAGGGCCAACTCCCCTCAGAGTAATGGACAAGGACCCTACCTCTCTGTGGGTGTGGGTGACGGCCAAGACAGCTGCAAGTGGGGCTGGAGTCCTAGCACAGCGGGCAGGGCCTTTGCCTTGCATGCAGCTGACCCGGGTTTGATTCCCAGCATTCCATATGGTCCCCTGAGTACCGCCAGGAGTAATTCCTGAGTGCTTGGGCCAGAAGTAATCCCTGTGCATCGTCGGGTGTGACCCAAAAAGCAAAAACAAAACATAACAAAAAGACAGCTTCAAGTCCCTAAAAGAATGAACAGAAGGAGGAAGTCCAGGGCCGGAGCGATAGCACAGCAGGGAGGGCGCTCACCTTGACATGACTAACCCGGGTTCGATCCCCGACATCCCATAGGGCCCCCCAAGCACTGCCAGGATTGATTCCTGAGGGCAGAGCCTGG